CTTTTTTTTTTAATTATTTATAACATTATCGGGGAAAAAATTTGAAATGATGATTACAGTCTATTAAGTCCGAATTAATTTTTAAAATAAAATTTTGATAGAGTAAGAAGATATATTAAAAATTTTTTTCATACAAATGACATATCATTCCTCCCCTATGAATGAAATTGAATTAAAAGTCGTCTGTCGTTGACCCTTAGACTAAATTTATCGACTAATATTTTTTGATAAATTATTTAATTTGGAATAAAAATCAAGAGGGTCGACTGACGAAGAAATTCAACCGTTTATAACAATAACAGAAACGTCAAAAACATATTTCGTAACTATTGATATGATAGTTTTCATTTTTAAACATTTTTTTTCCGCACCAATATTTTTATTTTCTATAAATAGTTCATTAACTAAATATTACATCGCTAGAAGGTATTTTTACTAAAACCGCCGTAGATACCAGTGAAACACTTAAATAGCGTATAGTAAAAGCTAAAACTCTAATCACACAGTCTGTACAAACATGAGATATAAAATCTAAGGGGGTAAAAAACGAGCTCCGATAAAATCTCCAGGTTTATGTGCGAGGAATAAGAAGAAATAAGATAAAAGACGTCAAGCTATGTGCAATCAATAATATCCGTAGACAAAAATATATGTCCTGTACTATATACATTCTATACAGATATGAGATTTGAGATATGAGATGATGCACTTTCTTCAATTGGTTTCTCATTTCTTTTTCTTCATTTCTAGTGGCTAAGTGTTTTCTATAACAATCATTTTTTGTTTCTTTATGTCTTTCTTCTATAAGCTTTTTTTTTTCTCTTTGACTAAATAACTTTTTTCATCAAAGTTATTATGAAGAACTTTTAATAAATATCAACCCTTTCTGTTATATTGTTGTATAAAATACAAGCAAAGAAACATTCAATATTAACTGAATTTATTTTCATTTCATTTATTAAGTTTGTTTTAATTTGAAACGTTGAATTTAATATTGTAATTCTATTTTATAAAATTGATTCCATACATTATCATTATTGTTGTAAATATTCGTGGACAAAATGTAATGTCGCAAAATTCTGTAGCAAAATAAAATTTAATTGTGGTTGAAAGAATTTATAATTATTTCTAACAATTTTACTTATTGTAAAAAAATAAATTCAACTTCTATTTAAATTATTTTCACTTGAAAATATTAATAATTGTTAAAATGTATCGTCAAAAAATTGAAATAAAAAATTATTCGAGCTACCTTTCATCATTGATGTCAACACAGCAATTTTGTACGAAGAAAACAGAATACTTAAGTCCTCTGCTAAAAAATAGTTAGTCACTTTTGTACTCACAGAAATTAATTTATTTATAAAAAATTGGCCAATTTGATAGAAAATTGTTTGATAAAATTTTATTTGCGTAAAATTAATTTTGTAATGACTCATAAAAAAACTCTTCATTGATATCAATAAGTTTATAAATTAATCTTTTTATAGTAGTATATTTTTGTAATGTATATAAAATTATTCATTAAAATTAATTCAAATGAATTGCAATTAATTAAAATTAATAATTTCTGTAAAAAATAATAATATAAGAGTCTTTTAAATGAAAAATATAGACGTAAAATTTTTTAAAATACTAATCCTTTTATAAATGAGATGTCAATATTTTTGTTAAAATAAGAAAAATGATCGGAAATTAATTAGATTGATAATAATAATAATAATAATAATAAAATTAAAATCTATATTGACAAAGACTGATTTGAATAAAAACACGATATGACTTTATATGACATTGATAAATTTCATTATCATTTATTAACAAGAGTAAGAGATTGAAAAAGAATAAAGAGAATATTTTTTCGTTATCTTGAGAAGTAGATATCTCAATTTAAACTAAAGCTTATATTACTACTATATACGCACATAAAAACACTATAAATAGTTAGAAAGTGTATGATATAAAAATATAAATTTCGTTATTTTGACATTGCCCAATGACGCATGAAGTAGTAATCCTTTTATGTAAATGTGACATTTTTATTTACAATATAAACGCAAATGAAAATATTAACTACTCCTGTCATCCATTTATATGTTTGGCCTTCGGGTTCCCTTTGGATGTCTGAATTTAGCTTTATAAAGAAAATACCCGTATTATATATGTGCATGGACATTTATACAACAACAAAGGGAAAAAAATAAATCAATAAATACTTATTACTCGATTTATTTTATTTATATTAGTTTTTGTTCATAAAGTATAAAATTAAATTAACTCTAAATCGGATAAACTTCTGCAAATAAACTGATATTAGTCTTCTGAACAAAAAAAGATCTATGAGTTTTATTATTATTTTTTTCATTGTTCTTTCTATTATTATTGTTAGGAATTAAAAATAAAAATTGAGTCACAGAAAAAAATTATACTTTGAGTGAGGATAATTTGGTTTTTATGTTTATTGAAAAAAACTATTAAAGAGTTAAAAGTTTTCGACACTTATTTCCGTAGATTTTAGTTGATCTGAGTTTATGTTACGAGAGAGATAATAAAAAATGAAAAAACATTATCTAGATTAGAAAGAACGCTGCATGTGTTGATCTATTTCAGAGGCATCCACGATCACGCATCATTGTAAGACTGAATTAGCATTTCACGTGAAACATACTCGAAAATCTCATGAGATGTGTTTTCATCCACATTAAGTACCGGCTAATATTTAAGATCTTAAATATTTCAATCAACAATTTTCGTAAACAACTTATAAATACGAGCCCTAGATACATTTTTTAATTTAAAAAAAAAAACTATTATAAAAATAAACTTTATTGTACAAAATATTTTTAAATAACCGAATAAATTCTATAAATATAATATCATTTTTTTAAAAACTTCATCACAAAGTATGTTATTGTAAAATAATAATGATAACAATATATTTTTCCTATTTAAATAAAAGGAAATTAAACTTTTCCGTCTTATCTATTTTCCCGAGAGTTTAAATAATCAAACAGTGTATAAATCATGACGTTAGATAAAAATAAATATTATTTATCCTTATAATCATTTCCTAGTAAGTATTTAAAGTAAATAAAAGAGTTTCTTAATCGACTAGACCATTCTGCTCGATTTGCAATAATAATTTAAATAAATATTTTTATGACACTGAAGTTAGCAGACGCCTAAAAATTTTTGATTTTTTTTTATTAATTAAATTACAACTAAAAAGATATTTTTAAAAAATTGCACTTATAGCTTTTAAAGGTTTTTTTACATGTGAAATTTTTTTTTTTAATTTTTTAATTGAAATTTTTTCAATAAAAAATTTCTAAAAATTTTGAAATATCGGCTAACTTAATTTTCATATATTTTTTATATTAATATCAACAACAGTATATTTAGCGCACGTGCAATAATTAATAAACCGAGCATAAAAAAAAAGGACTACGATATTTTAATTAACTAATTAAATATATTTATCAAAATACGAGTGAAGAGTAAAGTGACTTCCAATAAAAGTCAATTAATTATTTGAATTGATTAAATAAATTTCCACTTTGTTCTATATATTACTACGTATCGATGAGTTGTACTTGAGCTTGACGAAGCATTTATTGTATGTAGTGAGCCAGTAAAACGACATACACGTTTCAACCTCAACGCCGATCAGTCTGCGCGAAAACTCTACCCGGTGAGGTTGCTCTCCACTCATACAAACAGTTATTTAATTTAAAGATTTTTTGTTAAAGTTTTAACAACAGAATTTAAATAATAATTATTATTATTATTATTGTATTATATCAAGTACCGAATAATTAACAAACAAGTGGTTATTTTATTTTTAATTAAAATACAAAAATATCAATGGTGAAAGGTAATTTAATTTTTTAAAAGATTTAATTAAACTGGATGCTTTTTTTAGTAGATTAAATAATATTTAGTGAGATAAAAGTTTTAAATAATTGCAATTAATGTAAATGAGCTTAATTATGTTTTATGTTACATCAGTGAAATTCCTGTTAGTATTAGTAGACTTAGCTTTGCTTTATATTACTTGAAGTAACTATTTCGATTGGAGTAATTTGAGAGGTTTTATGCTATTAAATGTCATGCTCACAAGTCTTGCAAGTGCATATTAAGTATATACTGTACAGTAGTCAGTGGACAATTTTAGCTAAATGTATATTATGATTATAATTATAATTTAACAAGTTTTATTTTAATTTTAAACTCTAAACTAATCATTTTTTTAATAACTTCTTTGTAAAAAGTTTTGTTGAAAAGAATTTTTTAAAATATTCCTTAGTTATAAATAATTGTCGAGTTTTTGATTGTTGGACTTGTAATTATTAATTTATAGACAAGACTATTTTAGAATATAACTGTATGGAATATTTAGACAGTTCTATACCGGCACCGAGAGTTCGCGCGATCGATACGTGTCATTTACACCTCGAAATATCAGCTTTAAAATAACAATAGTAAATATTTAGCAGATTTTTTTATTTTTGGCCTTTTTTAATCAATTATTTATTATTTAATTCAATTAAATTATTGGTTAATACATTATTGAGTTGGTGAAATAGAATTAGTAAAGCTTCATAAAATATATTGAAATGCAAAATAATATATTAAATAGATTAGTAGCCATATAAATAAAATAGAATATTTTTTTTATGTCAGTAATCCCCGACTACCCTAGTTTAGTTATTTTAGCTTAACATTAGATAAAACGTCTGAGATTGACGTAAGTCATGAATTTATAGAGACGACTAATGGTAATAGGTATAATTTTATTTTATTTCTTCTTTTAACAGGTGGACGATAACTTAAACTTCGCATTAAGGCGCTAAAAGTTTATAATTATTGCTAAACGGAGATTGTAATAGAGATAACGTTAATAACGATAATCCCCGCGGAACAACGGGGTAAAAGATACATTAAGAGGGACATTGATTCTACTTAACGTTAAACGTAAAGTTTATTTAAATATCCAGACAATGCAGAGCGAGGTGCGACAGAGGCCGATCGAGCACTCGTGCACAGGTATGGACACATGCTATTTGAATTATATCATTGTTAAATTGTCCACTAATATCTCAATGTGCACAGCCGGGTGGCCGATCGATTTCCGAAGCAGCAATTTGCATATTGAGAAAGCTTACCACATATAGATTCAATATATATATAGTTTTTTTTTTTTTATATTTTATTACTTACTTACAATTTTGTCGGTAGTAATTAATATTTTGATGTAATTAATTTTTTATTATACTTAAAAAATGTTGAGGTTGAAAATAGCAGACATTAAAAATTTTTTTTTTAATGATTTTTATTGTAATAAATTTAACTAATAAAAAAATATCAGATATCTATTATTTGATTATAAAAAATTTTAATTAATTGAATGATTTATAATTAGTAAAGAAATTGAATATTTTTTTATCTTTTGAGAAAAATTAATTATGCAGGTGTAAAAAATAAAAAAAAAATTTTATATATCATAAAATTGTATTCCACTTAATAAAAAATTAATTAATTACTTTTTTCTCTGCTTCAGAATCATTGCCGGATATTGCAGTGACCATGGCCACTGGACAAGAAATTCATGATGTCTTTAGGTAAAAAAATTTATTTTACTAAAGATCGGTATTATTGCATAATACCGACTTAGATTTAATAATTGAGCAATAACTGGTTATTCAATCTGTTCATTCATAATTAAACTCAATTCTAATTGTACAAGTTTATTCAATGGTGAATAAAAACAAACAGAAAAAATAATAGCGACCTAGTCTAGGAATAAACTTATTTATTTAACAGAAAAAATGGTTTTTTAAAGCGCAAAGAGCTTTGGCAATCCGGTATATTTTAGTGGTAATGTTTACACAACCGTGGAGATTGCGAAAAATTTGTGTCGATTAGCCCGATTCTGACATATCGTATTTAATATATTTAGAAAAGTAAAAAAAAAAATTAAAATTAACTGGAAGATGAAGATGCATAAGAAGTGCGCAAGAGATGATGATGATGATGATGCTCGAAAAATCTATTTTATTTTTAGAATTATTTCGTAGTCCATTTCCGATACGTCCTTCGAAGCACAGGGCTCCAGTAAACTTTGGGGCGTGGGTGTTAATCAATATATGGATTATGACCTTTTGTTCAATAGATAATAAAATCTGTCAATTGAAGAATTTCATTTATCAATAATACAATCTCAAACGAACAAATAATCTTTAACCAAACTCTAAAATCCTTTTACATCAACCCTATCTCGGTTATCTTAATTCAATATTAATTAAAAGAGCTTTGATAAAAATTATCAGAAAATTATTAATTAATTATTGCAAAAATCACAAAAGAACTTTAAAATAATTTATTTTTGAAATTTTAAAATTGTTTGATAAAATTATCTATTGTTACACATACCTAGGATGTGTAATGCAGAGTGACGTCGTATTGACGCAAGTAACAATTGTCTGGCTATTAAAATAACCAAGAAAAGCTACTGATGATAATACAACTAAACGTCAATAAGATAAAGCTATAAAAGGAAAATCTATTGAATAAACTATCTGAGTCAGATAATAGGAAGATTTTGTCATTTAATCAATATTTTAGTTACGCGGAAAAAATTTTAAGATTTTATTAGCAGTTTTTTTTCGTAGAAAAATTATTTTTAACTGCCGTTTTAATGTCATTACATTTTATTAATGTTTTTGTCTTTTTTAAGCCAATAAATTTTATTGGATTATAATAAAAATACTCGGTGATCAGAATATTAATATTATAAAAGATTATTGAAGACAATAAAGATAATTGTACCAAAATAAAATTTTTATGTAATCAGTCAATAATTTTCAATTATAAAATATCTTATAGGCTCCAAAATTGGCAGGAATTTTCTATATATGATGTAGAAATGACCCAAAAGCATTTCGACGGTCTAATTAGCAATTTGTCTAACTCCTTATTTTTTTTAAGGGTGATTTTTTAACATTTTGATGTAGTAATAGTCCAATTATAAATTATTTGAATGATTCAAACCAAAATATTATACCTACATTAGATATTAATGATATTGAATGTTTTTTTTAAAGTGATAATAAATTTTAAACCAATTGTTTTTTTTGTACAAATGGAAGATTCTCTAAAATGGAGTTAGACAATTTGCTAATTAGAACGTCGATTTTTTTACGACAACCCACCTCCAATAAGGATTGCGGGGGTATGTTAGAATGTTAAATTTTAATTTTTCAAACTGTAATTTTTACTGACTCCAAATTTGGTAAAAATGTTCGTGTGTGATGTCAAGTTCAGCTAAGAATGGATTTTATTAAATTTCAACCCCAAAAAGGATTGCGGGGGCGTTAACAATAAAAAAACTCTCATTTCCAAGCAATAGTTTCTATTTTTATCGGTAGCCAAAAAAATTTGTCTTCACAATAAATTGTTATATTTATCAACTGATTTAGTAATCCTTAAAATCTAATTAAAGAAGTATAATAATTATTACACATCAATAAAATTATTTAATTAATTACTTTTTTAATAAATAATAATTTTTGATAAATAAATTTTAGTTAAGAAATTGAATACTTAAAATTTTTTTTTAATTAATTTTTACTACTGAACAAATAAATTTCTTGTATATTATAATGCATTACAATGTGCAAAAAAGTTTTTTCATTTGAAGCAAAAAATGTTTAAAATCTCAAAAAAATATCAATCGATTGATCAATTAAATAAAATGTTTATTGTTTAAAACTGACAAAGCATTTGGTGAATCAGAGGATTTATATAACATGAAAAACAATAGCCTGAGATTATAAATTGCATAAGTGATTGCAGATGATAGTCTACCAGTTGATTAGTGTAATGCTGTTTGACCTTTATGTCAATGAGCAAAAATTATTAAATTAAAATGAAACTCATATATGAAGTTATTTATACTTTAATACTTATAATGTATATTTTTATTTCAGTTTGATCGTGGATGATGTCGACTCATCGTCAATATTAAGTGAAACCCCCGACACGGAAGGTCTATCAACAGAAAGCAATAGCTCCCGCAATTCGACATCACAAACACCACTGGATAGTCCTGGTGGTCCACGAGAGAGGATTAAACAAATTCAGGTCGAGGCTGAAACACGTCGAGACGAATTTGCCAGACTACTTGAAGAACACGCACAAGTTGTACGAAAATTAAAGATGATGGAAGCAGAAGAGCAACTCTCATCATCGACTAATAATGTTGTCGATCCAGCACACGCATGATTTCAAAAATTTTTTTATTTAAACATTTAATGGGACCACATCAGCTATAACAATTATTAAATATTTATTTATCATTAATCGTTTGTAAGATTAACATTTTTTATTATTTTTAATTTATTTGCTGATGATGTCCTCCAGGTATTAGATTTCGTGATAATTTATTTATTTAAAGTTTTAAACAGTACTTATTCCAAGCACAAAGAGTGTTTAAGAATTTATTATGCTGACTCAATGTTTTATAAAGAAAATTGAGATCTAATTTTTTTTTTTTTTTCTTTTTCCCCATTGTATTAATAATGTCTACTCTTGTTTCTCGATTTACTCTTGTATTATCTCTTGTGTCACCTGACATACGACAATAATGAAGAATGTGTTGACGTTATGCACGTGTTTATAAATAAAAAATAAAATAATAATTTGATTTGAATAAAAATAAAATATAAAGAAATATTAAGATTTGCATAACATCGGTGGCCTAATGATTTTTTGTACAAAATAAAAGTATACTAAGGGTGATAAAGATTTAAATCGAGAAATAAAACCAGACATTTAAATTAAATCTCACTAGTTAAACACAATAGAATTTCATTGTAATTATAAATAATAATAATCATTATTATTAATCCAGAGTAAAATTTGACAGCTGATAGTATTATCACGAGTCATATGTACTGAGTGAGTTAATCACGTTGTTAATTAAAAAAACATTATCAATTTATATATCGACAGTAACAATAATAATAATAATAATAATAATAATAATAATAATAATAATAATAATAAAACTGTGTAGAATATAATATACATATACATATGTATGTAAAGCTATATTTAGATAAATGTGAATCCGCTTTTTAAATAAACAATTTTGTTTTTATAACTAACATTTAATTTTATTATTTTTATTTGCGATATCTATAAGATATTATATTTTAAAATAATACTTAGATTATTTGGTGCTGTACATTTTTTAAGTATTAAATAAATTAAAAGCTGCAATTTAATAATTGCATGAAGCAGGTATAATCTTGGCAATAATTCTTTTAAGTGAAAAATAATAACTAAAATAAAATAATACACAAATGAAGGAAGACTGGAGAGCGAGATACAAATATATTTAAATATTACTTTTAGTCTTTTCGTTATACTTAGATTGTATCGTGCTAATTAATAAATAATATTAATATTAATAAAAATAATATTAGTGTTAAATATATGTATAAATCTTAGTAATATAATTATTTGAGTAATTATTTTTAGCGATATACAATTTATCAATTTTGTAATGAAGCATTTGTATAAAGTTAAAAAAAAATATTGATAGCTTTTAACAAAACATACTAAACATTTTTGTTTACAAATTTTTATTTGTACTTGTAATTATCATTGTTATTATTTTGCTTTGTACCGATTAGACTGTAATGAAAAAAAAAAAAATTAATGTAAGATGTATAAAACAAAGTATACAATACATTAAATATCGTTAAATAATGTACAATTAGAAGAAAAATATATATTTATTTTATTGAGTTGAAGATAGATTTTATTATTTTTAGAATACTTTTTATAATTTTATTTTTTTTTTTTTTTAGATAGATATTAATTTTAGGATGCAATGAAATACCTATAGTACATAGATATAAATTTGATTACGTATTTAGAAATTGATATTTATTATAAATAGCCTCGATTTTTTTAGCTTAGTATTTAGTAAACATTTTTAAGACGCATTTTTAATTTTGTTTCGTACAGGCACAACAATAATAAACTAGTATTTCTATATTGATTTCAGTTTTATTAAACTATCACTTGATCAATTTTTTGGCAATTACAATTGTATCGCCTTTAAATGAATACAAAGTATAAATAATTAATTGCCAATAGAAAAAAAAATATATATAATAATTTAATTGGCAATGGAAGATTCAAAATAAATCTCATAACTTTTAAATGAATAAATAATATGGCAATCGGTAAAGTGAAAATATTTATGAAACGATTTGATCTTAATTTAGTAATTTTTTTTATACTGATTTAAAATACGAAGATTTTTTTTAAATTACCAGTACATTTGTTTTTTATAAATTCATTGAAAATAGATTCATCTATTTTAGTTAGCAAAAAAATTCTTTGGCTTTAAGGAGGTACTGTGCAAAATCACTTTTCTTACAATATTCTTCAATTTTTGAATACGCGTACTTTTAAGTGTCCTCTATACGAATAATTTTTTTTAATAGTCCTAGCGGTGCTAATTTTCGAAATATTAGCAATTAAAAATCGTACATTTAACATGTATTCCCTATCCTAACCGTAGTTAGAGTGAATATTTTATTGAATAACAACCATACTTTTCTTAGGATTTTTTTTTAAAAACTGAGATTATTTAATTGAAATTATAACAAGTATTTTTTATCAAAAATAATACAAACGAGCGGTATTCTTTTTTTTATAAGAAATGTTTGAAGTTAGTGACTTTCGATATTTTACGTGAGTGGAAGTAAAGAGAGGCAGCACTAGTGCGTGAGAAAGAAACCAATAGCCATAATCTATTGGTGTCTTTTTCTTGCCGCAATACCTCCTTAAGATTTTTTATTTTTATTTAAAGTAAGATATGAATTTGAATTTAGAAAACGCTTGATCTGAATTTATTAATAGTGATTAAATTTTTTTCACATTTTTCAAAATATGCAATAACAAGATTCAAAATTTAGACAAAGAAATTTTTTTTTAGGCCCTCAAAACATGTAAAATTAATTTTTTTTACATAATTAATATTTCAACAAAACAAAGTACGTAATATTTTGTTTTGTTCAATAATTTATAGTATAATATAATACAAATCAACAATGTTTTTGAGTAAACATTAATTATAATTAAAATTACTTAAGTATTTTGATGACGTTGTGATGCAAGTAACATCATTCTATGACTCAATTTAACATTATGATCACGTAGGTACCTTATTAAATCCGCTTGTTTTTCCAATAATTCTGATAAATTAGAATCACGTTCACGATAACCAACCTCTGTATTACCAGCAAATGAATCCTGGGTAAACGATGACAGCCATTCTTCTCTTGTAACATCGGGAGGAGGTTGCATACGATTGAAACGATGTACACGTTCTATATAAACCCACCAAACCAACAATAAAATTAGTAAACAAAATAACAAAAAAAAAACAATACTTATTACAATGAATAAATTAATTATCATACTTATGTAATTTATATAAACTGGAACAATAATCATTAGCTCCAATGTTGTTAACAATAGAATGTAGTTAACAGGCGTGAACCATTCCGATGAACGGCAATAATCCTCATAATTTAATTTATGTGTGTGATGTAGTATTGCAGCGAGAAATAAATACATGGTATTCCATAAAGATGATACAAATAATGGTGTTCTGATATGCTGATAGGTTGACTGATAAAAATCAAGATATCCGCATATCCGTAGATTGTGATGTCGTGATTTAATAATGTAATCGGTCAACATTATTACAAACCAGTATCCACAATGTAAATACAAAAATATAAAATATGAATTACATTTACTCTGTTCTTCTGGCCATAGTGAGATGAATATTATTCCTATTATTTCAATGATAACCTGTCAAATAATTAATAATAGTATATGAGGACATGAAAATAAAGTTAGCCGACATCTAAAAATTTTTATTATTTTTTTAATTAAAGAATTATTAAAAAAAATTTTTTTCATTTTTTAAAAACTTCAAAAACTATAAGTGCAATTTTTAAAAAATAACTAAATAACTTTTTTAATTATAATTTAATAAATTAAGCAAAATAAAAAAATTAAAAATGTCGGCTAATTTTATTATTATTATGAGGACTAAATTTTATTATACTGAAATTGACAGACATTTAATAATTTTTAGGATTTTTTAAAGAATAAATTATGATAAAAATATCATATGTGGTAATTGTAAAAAACTATAAGTGCAATTTTTTAAAATAATTTTCTAGAACTAATTGATTTGTTAAATTGAGCTCCAAGAATTGTCAATTGTCTGCTGATTTCAGTGTTATTAAATTTCCATATAATAAATTATGTAAAAAATATATATTTACCCCGAGGATTAGTGGTATTGATGCAAATATAGCAGTGTCTAATTTTCCAAAACTTAGTTGTTCTGTCGATGACAGTACTGGTTGAAATTCATCATCATTCTCATACATTGTAGCATCAAAAAAAACAGCACCCTTAAATTATTTAATTAAGTTTTTTAAATTGTTTTGTTTTTGTTTAAATGATCACAGATTTTCGGAACATGAAAACGTCACTTTATGTAATTCACTTTCACTTGACTATTTAAATGCTTATTTTGATAGTTTATACTTATTTGAATAAATAAATGTTTTTTTTTTATTAATGTTATATTTTTGAAATAAAGAAAAAAATTATTTAACTTTTAATTTTAATAAAAATTTAAAAGAAAACTTGAGCGCTCCTTAAGGTTATGTTTACATTACTGTACATTCATGCACACAATATTTATGTGCTACAATATGAGTAAGGATCTATGATTAAATACACATGTATGTTTGTATATATGTGTTACTTGGTACAAAAGTATAAGAAAAAAAAAATAATAATGATAATATAAAAATTTAAAAATGTTGAGTGCTTACACTTGCAGAAGTATTTCCAAGACTGACCATATTCACAACTCTGAGTCAATGGAATGAATTAGACAAAGAAACAATAGTTTTTATTTACAAAGAACTTTGTACTTAATAAAAACTATATAAATAGATATAATAAATTATGTATTTACTTGTTTTATATATAAAAACTTTGTCATTTTTAGAAGCCGTTCAAACACGTATTGGCATCAATGCTTCTGCATTGCAACATCGCGTATGATTCATTTTATAAGTATATTGTTATATGCAATTTAATATTTATGATAATTATTTACTATACTTCTGTTAAACATCATTATATTCAGATCATTCAATAATTTTTCCTAAATTGAATTTGTATTGGATATATTTATTTAAAAATAATTTTTTTCTTAAAATAAATAATGACATTAAAGTTAGCAGTCACTATAGAGAGTTTAAAAATTTTTTTTAAGAAACAAATTTGTTCAAATAAATTACTTTTAAAAAATTGCATTTGTTGTTTTTTTAAATTTCTACATGTCAATTTTTTTTTATAATTTTTTTTGTCATAATTTATTTTGAAAAAAAAAAATTCTAAAATTTATTGAATACTGCTAAATTTTTTATCATAAATAAATATCAAGTATTGTAACTTTTTCTATGAGTACTAATTTTCAGTATAATTTTATTTAAATTTCAAGTGAAAGTACTCCTCGATATTTATTACCAAGAAAGAGACTGATGTCTTAATCCTGGAATTTATAGAAAAAAAGTGGATTTTCTTGATCTGATGAATATGCATATGAACGAAGAATATACTCGTAAGAAATAACTCCAAAAAAAAAAACAAATTTTTGTTAGAATTAATACTGCGAAAAATACAATTTAAGTTTAAAAATTTTCTAGACTAAAATTTCTTTAGTAATTAATGTAATACACTGAGAAAAAAAAAATAAATTAAATGAATAATAAATCAACCATAAAAATGAGATGATCTTTATAACCTGAGTTTATTTCATTAAAAAAAAAAAATACTTTTACTCAATTAACAATTTCTTGGTTCAAGAAACTCGCTGACGATCATATATTCTATTATTATTAATTATTAATTTCAGAAAAGAAGAGTATCAATATTTATCTTTGGATTATAAATAAACAGAAGAATAGCTTTATTTAAATTAAGTAAAAATTATTTCAATCAATTTAACAATTTCTTGAGCTAAGAATACATATTCTTGAAAATCTTCAAGAACATAAATTCTTGCATCAAGAAAATTTTCTTAATAAAAGTATTTTTTTTCTCAGTGTATATATTATAAAATTTTTCATTCATTTATTAATATTGAGTTACTCAATGAATTTTGAAATAGAATGCGAATTAACGCATTCAATTGAATCTTTGGTTTTTTAGTACAGAAAAAAAGAGAAAAATTTTAATTTATTATTAGCAAATAAAAATTTGAAACAGTAGATTTTTTCAATGCCATTGCTTGTCCAAACAAAAAACTCATAAAACTAGAGGGTACTTAAAAATAACGTTTGTTATTCAAATGTAATCTAAACAATACATCTCAGACTATTTAAATACTTATTTTTCATGATATTTTATGTAAAAATTCTTTCATCTAATAACAATTGTAAAAGACTTTTCAAGTAGCAATTATTCAATTAAATATGAAAATTATAAATTTTATTTTAAAGGTTTAGTCATAAAAACTATTTTTCATTAATGCAAATAGTATTTTAATAAAGATAATAAAATAAATTAAATATTTAATAAAGAAGAAATAAATAAAAAAATTCTTGAGAAATTCAATTACAATTTATCAAATCGACAAGTTTGTAAATCCATTAGTTCAATTACAGTAATAAGCTTTTATAATATGATTTTTATAAGAAAGTGGACGCTTGCGCGTTATTCAAGCACGTGTAGAAGCAATGAGCGTTTATTCAAGTTACTTGACTTGAACTTGCAGTCTAGTGTATGTAACGTTACTGAATACGTCCACAATTGATTTTGAATTTTTTGTACAGTTAAAATTATATTTTTTGATAGATTTCTAATTCTTATACTTGATCTATATTTATCTAATACTTATATTTAAATTATAAACTACAAAAAATCAAAAAACATCAACGAATTACAATCTAGTTTTATACTTTTTAATAATAATAAAAAAAAAAAAAAAAGATAATGGGAACTCTGTCTGAAGCAACTGGTGGAGCTGGAGGAAATCCGAATAATCCGGGAGCAAAAGATCAAAATATCTATGAAAATCGAGCCGGTACTAAAAAATTAATAAGAGTTGTAACAGTAATAGCATATTTGTTTTCAGTAAGTTTTGTAGCTATTGTATTGAGTGCATACTACGTATTTCTTTGGCAACCGCCAAATCCGCGATTAGTACATCGCTCACAAAAAATGGACAAACTTCAAGCTGATTACTTATCTGAAAGTCAACCTCATGAGTTTTTACTTGATGAAATCATTAATAATAATAATAATAATAAAAATAATAATAATAATAACAATAATAATAATTACAATAATCACAAAAAAAATAATAACAATAATCATAAAAAAAATGTCGGAGAAGTATTTGGTTCGATAAATGATTTTCATCGAGATTTGATTCGCCTTCACAGCATTGATAAAATTGAGACCAATAGCAATAAAAATAGTGTTAAAAATAATAATCAAAAATACGTAAAGTCTGTAAATACAATTAAATTGAGAAATCCAATAATTGAAAAAATATACCATGAGAGTGACAAGGTTACGACGACTTCTGATTTACAGACGAGTATTTATGATATCATTAATAAACATCTTGATCCTTCAAATGATGATAAAAAAACTACTGATAAATCAACGGTATTTACAAAAATTGAAAATACTACTGAAACAACTGTTTTGCTTACACCGTCAACAGAAATGAATAAATATTATGAAAAAGACGAAAATAATTTTACATCTACATCTACATCTACACCTACACCTACAACTAAAATTGAGTTTTTGAATAAAATTTTTGACAAAAATCGACAACCACCGGAAAATAATCAGCTAAATACTGAAATTACTACTGATGAATCAAATTATCAAACGACTGAAAATTTGTACTTCCAAGGTAAAAAAAAAATATATTTAGAAATATTAATATAGTCTTCTTTCAATTTTTTGCATGCATTTTTCCAACAATTGAATTTGTTTATTATAAAATTAAAAAAATATCTGATAAAATATTTTTACATGGAAATTAAATAGTTTAAGTTAAAAGTATTTCTTCTTTCAAAAAACTGTTTTATTTTTAATATTAAAATGAATTGAAAAACATTTATTTTTATTTTTAAAAACTAAACAATTTATTAATGAAAGGCTTTTTGAATTAATATATATATATTAATTGTAAGATTAAGTCTTAATTAATTAAGTGATTACGATGTCTTATTATTTCCCAAATGATAATTAATTGATGGAAGTTAACGATACACTACAGGAGATAATCATTACATTAATTGTGTAGCTATTAGTTTTTCTTGTGTAAAAAGTAACATACAAAAAAATAATAGCGTATCGAAACTTATGACGGTGTTATCGAGTAAAATAACAGGGTCAATACATAGGGTTTCACCTTATGTAATCGACACAAATTCTTCATATATATATATATATATATATATATATATATATATATATATATATATATATACATACATTAGTAATTAGTTTTGCTGAAAATAAAGTCGCGGTAATGCCATTTCAATACTAAATAAATAGTTTACATATTCGCGTAAACTTACAGTTCAGTATTAGATTATTCCAACTTTTTATTCTAAATATAGAAATTCTTGGAAGATGAAATATTTAATTTTATAAAAATCGTAATAAGATTGAATTTAAATTTTGTTATTGATGAATAATAAAAAGTATTCTTCTGAAGAAAACAAATAAGTCACTCAATAAAAAAAAAAAAAAACGACAATTTTGCTAGGAGGAATATAAAAAAAATATGTTTGCTTGTTCGTGACGTTTTTGAAACAAAGGTGTGTCTATCGTACTTGCAATTAATAATATTGAACAAAGAAAACCGGAGAAATAACTTCAGTTATTAAAAGACCACCGCATTAAATTAAATTAATATCAATTACATCGAATCTATAGATTATTTTCAATCATTTTTTTTTTACCAAGAAACTCTTATATAAATCAAAGAAATCTAACTTATTTCCGAATAAATTTAATCCAATATTCAATTGTATTCATATATAATTATAATCAGATAATAAATTCTGAAGAGCGTATTACAAATTCAAATATTCCATCCAACTTTAACGATTCGTAACAACAATTTATTTAAAATACGCAATCGCTCCATATAATTTTATTATTTATCAATCTTTTAATAAAATTCTTAACAAACAAATTTATTTACAAGTATAATAAAATTCCGGAATTTTAAACGGCGATATAAGAAAAAACTCAAGTATCTTCTAGTAAAAATATATAGATATATAAATAAAGATATACATAAAGAATAATCGAATTCGATTAGTGAATCTATAAAATTTTAGTGATTTGACCTTGATCATTTAAGCGAATAATTACACAATTATTAAAAAAAAAAAAAAAAAAAAAAAAAAAAATTATTATTAAAAAAAATAATAAATAGATGTGCGCAGAATCATCGAATCTATGTATTATGAGTATAATACCTATGTATACAAAAGAGCTTAAATACGCATGTCTTAAAATAACTAAAATTGTTAATACAACAGTGGGTGTAGTCTTAATACAAATTTTACTAACATTAAATCTGTGTAAAACCAACACTTTTATTTATTTACACAAATTATTTCTCAATAATTATTCATTAACATAAAAATAATAAAAAATAGCAACGGATGATTACACGTTAATTTAAATTAATAAAATAAATTACAAAAAATAAAAATGTGCTGACAGTAATACTGCTTTAATTGATAGTAACTATTGTTGTAATTAAAAAAAATATAAATTTATAATTATACAAATATTAATGAATGAAACGTCAAATGAGAATTTATAAACCCAGTAGCAGTAGTCGGGAGTTGAATATGCAAATACCAAGAAAAATGAGTAGTGCACAAACTGTAATGGCAAGTATTACACGTACACTTGCAACGCGTAATGACCCTCATGGAAAAGCTTCAAACGAAGTGAAACTTGCTGGTGAAGAAAGTAAAGACAAATTATATGAACCGAAACACCGTAAAAAAGTATTTCGTGTTATGACTGTTATTGCGTATATTATACTAGTTAGCTCAGCGGCTATTATTTTGTCACTGTTCTATGTTTTTATTTGGAACCCAACTGATTATCGGTTACTAATAAGACGAGCTAAATTAAATAATTCAACGAAACTTGCTGAGTGCCTGAATTCAGTGTCACCTGGTACATTAGATGAGCTTGCGTTGAGAGTGCATGGTAAAAGCTTGTTTACTTTATATTACGCATGCTACAATGATATTTTATTACATTTAGATAAAAATTATGATTTATTATATTGAAAACAGCAGACAGAAAATTTTTATTTGATGCAATAAATTGTATATCATTAAATAGAATTTTATAAAAAAATTTATGTATTGATTTTTTAATCTTTATGCGTAATTTAATTTTTTCCTTTTGTGAGAAATTAATTTTTGGATTCCTATTTTCGATATATTAAAAGTATTAATTGTAAAAATTTTTTAATTTCTGTTTTTGGGTTAATTTAATGAAATTAATTGAAATAAAAATTTGTTATAGAACTCAACGAGGACAAAACAAGTTCAAATGGAACAGAATTTATGAATAAATTAAAATCAATGTACACAACGAGTAATGATAAAGAAAATCTTCAAGATCCAATAAGAGTCGAAACAACTGTCGAATTAACGTCGACTACTGATTCATTTATATCAATTGTTCAAGAAGAGACATCTAAATCGTACGATGCCGATATTGATAAAAGCGTTTTACCAGAACGATAAATAAAATATATTTTATTATTATATACTAATATTATTTATTATTTTATTTAAATTTATTATTATTATTATTATTATTATTATTTGTGTGATATTACGAGATAAAATAAAAATATATATAATTATTATAAATAATAATAATTATAACTAGAAATATTGAAAATTGTATTAAATAAATACGATTCAATTGATAATTTTATTGAAAATTATATTGTTTAATTAAAATGAATTAATTATTTATAAATATTAATTTATGATGTAATTATTCACCAGTTACAACCATATGTACTTTTTTATCAGAACGAATCATTTTAGTTGTCCGTTCAGTGCCTAATATTGCTGATAATTGCATATTGTCATATTTTGAATACAATGTTGTGACAGTCATGTTACTGCTTGATCCAGCTTTTGGATTTTGATTTGATTCGTGCATAAAATTACACATTTCACTGTAAAAATGTGGAAATGATGGCGGAGCATAAAATATTATATGACGTATACCTTTAACAGTAATACGTCGGAAAAAATGGAATCGTTCTGAGTAAATTAAATAATGTGCATCACTGTGAAAAAACATATCACGAGCACGTGCTATTTTTGGATCCTTAGTATATTCACATATTTGTACAAATTTTAATTCTTCTTTTTTAAAGTAATTACGTAATTTAACGTAGTCAAAGTAAGACGGTACATATATCAATGTGTGGTTCATAATACTATCCTTGTATTGCGGTAATATTTTAGTTGTAAAAAAATCAAATCGTGCATCAATTGCCTGCTGATAATTAGCCGCTTCAAATTTATGAAACATCTGTTGTAAGTGTACAACTATTTTACAAATAGAACCATACACTACTGGATTCATTATTTTCACCTTCCCAGCATAATTGAAACAATATTTATTAAATATCGAGTGAATCTCCGGGACATGTACGCCTGAAAATATCAATGATTGTCGATAATACTTAGCCCAGCCGTTAACAGCCCAGCTTCTGACACGTGAAAAATCAGTACCGTGATCCAACTCTTTTGGTTGTAAATGTAAATGATTAAATATATGAATCAAATGATCCCAATTTTGCATTAATAATATATCACACTGATCTATTATTAATAATTCAATGGAAGCTAAGAAGTCGTAGTTACGGTGCTCTTCACCTTCAGCACCAATTAAGATTCTTAATCCAACGAGAGATGTTATTATAATGTCAGATGAATAAAAATCAGTGTATAATTTTAATGTCTTTTTAGTTAATGCAATACCTATTTTAAATGCATCATCAATATTACCAGAAAATGTTTTTTCATAATCTTCTGGCTTAGGATTTTTTTTCGGCATTCTCAAAGTAGCACCACCACCAAATTCTTCCATAAATCTCGTTTTATTCATTACAGAGCCTCCTGTATCATCGCCAATTAATATCGATATTAATAATTCAACAACTTTCAGACAAGTATGACGAAATGGTACAATAATAAGTACTTTCGGTCTGACTAATCCTTGGTCACGATAAGCCTCTGGTATTTGTGCTAATGATTTATTATCAACTTTTGATAATTTAGCATTGTGATGTAAAATCTTAGTCCGTGTTTTTAACAAATGATTTACCGCATGCAAACAATAAGTAAACATTATTTCATTTTCATTTTTAAATCCACGCTCGCAGTACAGCAAGTCTTGGTAATTATTTATTATTGAAAATAATTCTTTTTGAAATCGCGTTAGCTCACTTGGATCCTTGTGTAAACTGTCTTTTATATTATCGTAATTGGCTTTTGAAATATTATTCTGAATTTGATTTTTAATATACAATTTATTCCAATCAAGATCATGAATTACCAAAGGGATTGTACCAGCTTGAGCGTATTGCTTGTCTTCTTTTAAAAAATCTTTTTTTAAAGCTCCAGTATTCGTTGAATCACATCTTGGAATTTGGACAATCAGTTTATTAAGCTCCGGCCAAGTTAATTGATGAGAATCGATAACTGGTGTTAAGCTTGATACATTGGCATATGCATCATCTGATAAATCATTTATTATGTGGAGTGCAAATGGGTCTTTCAAATCACCTGAGTCTTCTCGCGCTGTTTCGACATCTTCATCTTCATCAGCTTCAACTAATGATAATTTAAAATCTTCATCCTCATCATCATCGTCATTATTATCACCATTGTCAACGTCTTCTTTTTTATCATTATCATCAACCGACTTTTCATCAGCATCATTTGATTCTTCATCATCATTTTCATTTTCTGATTCATTCTTACAATCACTAACAACAGTTTCATTTTTATCTTTAATTTCTAAATTAGATTCAGCTTCAGCTTCTGATTCGGACTCAGACTCTGAATCCGACACTACCTTAGTTTTTTTAAAATCTCGATTTTTTGAAAATGTTGACAGCAACATTTCCAAAGGATCTTGATCTTCGTCATCGGACTCCTCTTCTTCTCGTTTTAATTCTTCCTGTTCTTGTTCTTCTAATTTTTTTCTTCTGTTTTCAATCTCCGCATTTTTTGCATCACGTTCTTTCACATACGAGGACTCATGAAAATTAAATTTACCTTTTTTAACTTTTGGTTTTGGAGCTGATTTTGAATTACGTCGGTCCAATTTTCTTTTTCCACCTCGTACTGGTCTTTTACCAAATCCCATTTTTGAAAATCAACATGTACCTTAAAGCATTAATTATCTTTTTTTAATTTTTTCTAAACACAATATTAAAGACAAATTTTATGAAAATTAATTTAGCAGATATTTAATAATTTTTTAACAAATAAATTATGGCAAAAAAAAGAAGAAAAAAAATTGATAATAATAATAAAGTTAGCCGACATTTTTAATTTTTGATTTATTTTTTTAAATTAAATTAGAGCAATAAAATATTTTTAAAAAATTGCACTTACAGTTTTTAAAGTTTTTGACAAGTGAAAATTTTTTTTTTTATTTTTTTGTAATCATTTTTTCAATAAAAAAAGTTTTAAAAATTTTTAGATGTCGGCTAACTTAATTTTCATAAAAAATTGAGGTGTAGAAATAAAAAAAAATAAAAAATACAGTTTTGAAAAAATAATTTTTTGGTTAAGTAACTGCTAACTTTATTGTCATGTAAATTTTTACTCACTTGTTTATCTATTGAAGTCAAATAAAAATAAATTCGGGCGAATTTAAATCATATAATTATTCAATTTACAACTAATCACTAAATACAAATAATTGAAAATATTTAAAGATCAATAGCAACAGTTAATTCACACGTGACACTAAAACTCTGTTTATTATAATCTATAAGGTTATGTTTTATTATTTTTTACTATTACCACGTGAAAGTTCTCCATTTTCTCGCGCAAAAAATTTAAATCTAAAATTCTGAGAATTTTTTCATCAATTATTCCTTTATGATTACAAATTATACAATTCTAAAAATTAAAAAAACCAAATATCTATATTATAAAAATGAGTAATAAGCTTTATGAAACTTCAACAAATCCTTGATGATAAAACACAAATAATAAATGCCAATAGTTTTTATCTTTTCGCGTAATCACTAAAATGACAAACTAAAATCATAAAATAAACTAAAAAATAAATAAAGATAAAAATAAACTAATCATTAAATACAAGGAATTAATATACTAAAGAATATTTATATATAAATAAATAAATTCGATAAATATAGAACAAATTATTAATAAATGCTTCGATACTGAAGCTTATCACATACAATAATCTTCAATAAAAATAAAACATCAGAGAGGGTCTATTACAGGAAATAGGAAGTAACAAACAAGATTAATTAATCAACCCCCACCTTATCATTCTATTGCCGATTGTTTACATCAAGTGTGCATACACTATAAAAAGTGTCATGATCTCTTTATCATTTACTAGACATTTGATGAAACTGAAAATAGCAGACATCTCAGAATTGTGTCAATAGAAACAATATAAATATTGTAATAAAAAATTAAAATTTTAACAATTTCCATGACATTTTTAAAGGTAATTTTAATTTACTTTCATTTTTTTTATTTTTTAAATTAAAATCAAAATTTTTAAATGTCTATCATTTGTAAAGTACTTCTTATGACATATCATCATTATCATTATCTTACTTAACATCTACATTTATAATTGCTATACAAACACATACGTACATATATAAGTGAATATTATTTTATATGTAACTTATTAGCTGTTTTTTTTTTTTTTTTTTTTTTAAAAAGAGACGGAGATATGCGCGCGCATCAACAATATGTACAAGTTAAACTACAGGAGCGGCAACATCTAGGCAGTGTAGATAGACAGCAGCACTATATAACTATATACATACATACAATACTACACAGTAGATATATAGCATAGGTATACTCTACCTACATTATCTAAAGTCTAATGGTCTAAGTCTAGTTGTCTAAGTTGAACACAAACGTACATAGAGAGAAGGAGACTGCAGGAGGTTGTTCATACGTTACATTTATATGTATAGTTATATACAAGTTACACTTACATATATGTATGTACATACACACACATGTATGGGATATACATGTCCGTAGAATTTAGTGAACGAGTTGTCCAGTTGTCGAGACACCATCAAGACTATAGTATAGAGTCGTATCATCATGATGATCATGATCATCATAAAAGTTTTTTAGTTAAAACCCAGAGGCGGTAATCATAACAGCAAACATTATACGTGAAGTAAAATGGCATTTGTGATTTATAAAATAATAATTAGAGTAACAAATGAAGACTAGAAGCAAAAAAGTAACAACAGCTATCTAAAGTTTCTCGAGCTCCAGTTGAGGTAGAATAAGTACTTTGGTGTATTGAAAAATCATTAACTATAGTTTTATTTATTAAAACAAATAAGTTTATGTTAATTTCTCAAGTATGTATCAATGGACAATTGTTTTAATTTAAATTAATCGAGTTTATTAATTAATAATAACATATTGATTGATTGATAGGTGACTGGAACATTCAAGAGTTTAACCGAGTGAATTATTAAAGTTTTTAATTGTAATAATAACTTTGATATTGATAACAGTTAATAGTTGGTGACTAAATCGTATATATAAATTTGAAATAACAATATTATACGTTTTCTCATGACCTCTTCCATTGGAAGTCTGGTAGTAAGATGGCTGTACAGTTGGACGGCGGGGGGAAAGAGGATTTAAAAACACAATTTGTCACGAGGGAAGGTACATATAAACTGATGACATTGTCCGAATATTCACGTCCTAATCGTGTAGGCAACACGGACACGAGAGGTAGTGCATCAGTCAGGGTATCATTTGTTACTTTGCCGGATCCAGCCGACCCCACGGGGACACAAGGACTTGGTGATCGAATGTGCTTTAATTTCGGAAAGGAATTATTTGTTTATGTTTACCGGGGTGTTAAAAAGGTTTGTATTTTTATTATTTATTTATATATATATATTTATTTTGATTTTTTATTAACTTTTTTATGATTCAATAAGTAACATAACCTGTAAATTATTGTATCTGACTCCATCTTTTCTTGATCATACCACACCTACTTGGACATAAATATATATTTTTTTTTATTACTTTAAACATTCTTTTTTTTTTGTTTAATTTACAATGATGAAAATAGCAGACATCTGGTAATTTTTATTTATCAACTAATTACTTGCTACTATAAAATATTCATCAAAAATTTTTTTAATTTATTTGCATTCATTTTTTTTTTTAACTTCTTCATTTATATTTTAATAGTTTTATTGTCACAATTTGTAATTAATTGTATATTCATTGATGAGTGAATGAAATGTATTTTAGGGTCACTCTCTGATTGTTTTTTTTTATTTTTTTGATTGATTAAAAAAAATTTTTTTTATCAATAAAAAATGATAATTCTTCTGAAAATGAAGTTAGCAGACATTTCAAAATTTTTATTAAAAAAATTTTAATTAAATAATTAAAAAAAAAAATTTCACATGTAAAAAACTTGAAAAACTATAAGTGCAATTTTTTAAAAATATCTTTTTAGTTATAATTTAATTAAAAAAAAAAAAAAATCAAGAATTTTTAGACGTCTGTTAACTTCAGTGTCATTAATTCTTATTAAATTAAATTTATTAAAAAAAAAAATTATAACTACTTTTTTTTTTTGGCATGAATTCTTTAATAATTGTTAAATTAACAAAAAAATATATTTATTTATAATTAAATGTTTGACTCAGGCGGTGGATCTGAATAAGCCAGTTGATAAAAAATTATACAAAGGAACAAACCCAACGTGTCATAATTTCAATCAAACAACAGCAACAGCTGATACAGCACCATTGCTAGTGGGATTTTCAACCGGACAAATTCAACTTATCGATCCGATAAAAAAAGAGTTAAATAAATTGTACAATGAAGAGGTAAACTTTTAGTTGTTAATAATATATAAATGTCAAGTATAAATAATTGATATAGTATAAAATTAAACTATAACTAAGTTAAATAACAAATTCATATTTAATTATTTGCAGAGGCTTATTGACAAAACAAAAGTAACGTGTATAAAGTGGGTACCGGGATCGAGCAATTTATTTTTGGTATCCCACAGTTCTGGTCAACTTTATCTCTACAATTGGGAACTTCCTTGCGGTACAACCTCACCGCATTATCAGCCATTTAAATCCGGCGATGGGTACGCTATTCATACATGTAAAACAAAATCAACGAGAAACCCACTCTACAGATGGGTAATTGGCGCTGAGGGATGCTGTATAAATGAATTTGCCTTCAGTCCATGTGGTACCAATTTAGCAGTTGTATCACAAGATGGTTTTCTCCGTGTATTTCACTACGACACAATGGAGCTGGTCGGTTCAGCACGCAGTTACTTTGGAGGTTTCTTGTGTGTATGCTGGTCACCAGACGGACGTTACGTCGTTGTGGGAGGTGAAGATGATTTAGTAACAATCTGGAGCTTTCATGAGAAACGTGTTGTTGCACGTGGCCAGGGTCACCACAGTTGGGTCAGTGTTGTCGCATTCGATCCATTCACCACGTGTTACGGCGAAGCTGACGGTGATTTTAGTGGATCAGATGACGAAGCGATGCAGCAGCAACATCAACACAATAACCACAATCATTTCAACGATAAATCGAACAGACTGTCAACAACGTCACAGGGAGTTCACTCAAACCGAAATTCATGTAGTTCTGAATTACGTGTGCCTGGTGGTACGTGCTATCGGCTTGGTAGTGTTTCTGAGGACACTCAATTATGTTTGTGGGATATAACTGAGGACGTATTGAGGCAGCCGGTGTGTGCCAAGCAAAGAGTATCGGCTGCTGGCTCCGGTACACTCTCATCATCTGGTACTTTGAGCAGTGGTAATGGTGCGACCTCTAATCACGTTACGAACAATACTAAATTTAATAATATAAATAATGTAAGTTTTAACAAAGATAGCACGGGTAGTCATAATAATTCAGACAGTAGTACGAATAATAGCAGCACAAATACAGCTGTATCAACGGTTAATTCATTAACTCAAAGATTTGCTGGTCTTGGTTTTGGAGAACGTAATAAGGGTGATAATCATAAGAGAAATTTTAGTCTGACGATGAGATCCAGTAGCACAAGTAATAATAGTAATACAGTGGTTAACAGTGGCGATAACAATAAAGCTAGTAGTAATAATACAAATACAAGTAATTTAAATAGTGTCGGTGGTAACAGTATAGGCGGTAGTAATAAAAAAGCTAGTTTTGTGATGGACGATCCAATGCGATTGATTGGAACTGCATGGTGTCCTCGATTTGACGAGTGTCCAGTATTGGAGCCACTTGTGTGTAAAAAATTAGCACACGAACGATTGACTGAATTAGTATTTAGGGAAGATTGTTTCGTCACTGCGTGCCAGGATGGATATGTTTACACGTGGGCAAGACCTGGTCAACAGCACATGGTAAGCAGCACCTTGCACAGACCACACCATCATAGTAATTTACTCACAAATATTAATTCCATGCGACTTAATGATCTCTGATGTAACAATAACATTTATTTTTTTTCCTTTTATTATTATTATTATTATTATTATTAATAATGTAAAAGCTTCACCAATTTGATTCTTTACTGTTAATTATTATTATTATTATTATTCTTAATTATCACCATTATTATTATCATTAATATTATTATATTTTTATTCAATTATTTTATGTATTAAATTTTCGTACCAAGTGCGTTTTATGTTTTAAACAAAAAAAAAAAAAATATACAATTATAAATAAATAAATTAGTATATTTAAATATTCCCAACATATTTATATTTAATTACAATCATAGAAGATCTGTAGCGCTTCGAATGATTATTACTTTTAACAAAAAATATTTTTGTTTTGTTAATTTTGTTAGTAAAAATTAATTATTGGTTGAAACAATGTGTGTGAGTGTGTGTGCGTAAGATTTAATATAATTTTTTATTATATACAATCAAAAATTGAGATTTAAATTGAGCTTTTATCTGCATCAAAGTATTACAATAGATGATTAGATGTTTTACATGTATATTAAATTTTTTTTTTCTCATGTGAATCAGCTAAAATTTTAAATTATAGTTATTACTCTTATAATAATATCTTTCACATTTGAGTGTGTGGTTGTGTGCCATTATGAGGAGGGTGGAAAAAGCGTTAAAGATCTTCTACGGGTTTAAACATTTGTTATTATTTGTACTGCAAAAATGTTACATTGAGAAATTTTTTCGTACGTGGAAAATGAATATTATTTAAAATTTTAATAATAAAATAAAAAAAAGCAATAGCTGCACAAGTTATTAGAAGAAACAAATTGTATATTTATAATTATTAATTAATTTTGCATCTACTTTTGCCTTTCTACTATGATCTTTCACTATTATGTATAATTATTATTATTTTTATTAATTAATAATATATATTAAAGGGCAGGTCCCTTTTTTCCACCCTCCGATAATATATACTAACCTTTATATATACTGTATTAAGAATTTAATTACAGTCAATCTGGATAAATTAATCCTGTCAAAATAATATTTTATAAAATGACATTTAACCATTACATGATTTATAAATTTCTTTCATTATGTACGTAACATTTAAAGGTCATTTTAAATTATCGGGAAAAATTAAAGTTATCCTGGTTGACTGCAGTTTAATTAATCAGATTGAATAGAATAAATAAAGTGTAGAAAAAATATAAATTATGCAACGAGACCATTGCCCAAAAAAAAAAAAAAAAAACAATTATTATACATACAATAAATAAAGTAATAATAGCAATGTGACATTGATTTTTTTTTGTTTATAAATACAAATTGCATTGTCGTAAAATAAATACAAACAAAATATGAATGGAATAATATTGTTGCTTGCTTCCTGCTTGAATTTAATTTTTTGCCGTATGCGTGTTATTATTTATAATTAAAAAATGAAAATCCCAGTTTTTTGTTTTCTTTACTATTATCATTATTATAATTATTAATTTAAGTTTGAATGTTTATATTACTTACACAATAATAAAGTCATAAATTTTCGATGCCAAATTGAATAAAATTATTCTTTATTGTTGTTATAATAGATTTTATTTTAGATACTATGCTTCTAATTTAAATTTTATTAGCAATATATACGACAGATAATATTTTATTGTAATTAAAAAAATGCTTGCGCTTAAATAACTTCCTCACTCATTTATTAGATAAATGTATAATATTTCGCTATGGAAAATGAATATGCTAAAAAAATGAATGAGTTGCTTGCAAGATAACGTGAATTGCTGCTCCACTTTATCGCATGGTACGTATACTTTTTATTTTATTTTATTTTTTTATGATCTAAACCATATTTATGCTTAACACACAAATTTTATGCTTAGATAGTAATTTTTAATAATTAATAATTTAGAATGTTGACATTAGATTTTATAGATTATTTTTACTTTTAAACTTTCCTATCATCAACACATTTACAATATATTAAAAAAAGATATTGAAGTTAGTTTACATAAAAAGTTTTTTTTAGAATTTTATAGCAATGAAATTATTATGAAAAAAAATTTCTACTAATAATTTTTTTTTAATTTTTATAAGTGAAATTTTTTTCTTAATAATTTTATTGCATAAAAAATTTTTTTCTGTTAACTTCAGTGTCTTATTAAAAATTCTAATCCGTAATTAAATTTTAATAAAATTAATTGATTATAAGTAATTATATTTTTTCAACAGCCAGGACAAATAATAAATGCTTCACACATCGTGAGCCCTGGTAAAAACGGAGGAACTATTGTATAGCTACAGGAAATAGCCAACAATGATTCATCTTCTTCATCGCTAACAAGAAAACAAGAAGATGATGACGTCTATGAAGAGTTTTCACGATTGACTGAATTATTATTTATACCACCAACACAACATCGACGATTATATTATTATATATAATCGACAAACGAAATTAAATAAAACTAAAAGTCCATTTAAAAAATAATATATAAATCCACATACTCAAAGTAATAATAATATTAATTATTATTATTATTGTGTCCAAATGATAATAATATTAATTAAATAAAACAAGCATTTCTCAAAATATAAAACTCAAAATTTTCTAGCTCAAATGAAATAAAAGAAGAAAAATAAATAAATATCTTAATTAATAATTTAAATTTTTACATGCTTTTTGTACTATTTTTTATTATTGTTGAATGCTCGTGGGTTTTGGATATTGATTACATTTTTAATTAAATGCAATTAATAAGTAAATAATTGTAATAAAAATCTTTGGTTTAAATTAATGTCGTTTAAGGAACAAATAATATTATCTTTCATACGTCATTCCAATTATCCGTTTGTTACCCGTAGATAAATATATTAATGTTTTATTATTTATTATAATTATAATAAAAAATTTTATTATTGCGTTGTTTTCTTCAATATTGAAATAATAAATAAAATTGTTTCTACTTTGTGAATAATGTTTATTTTAAAATGAAACAAATGTTTTTATGTTTCTAACGTTAATATAAATGATTAGTTTAATTAAATTTATTATAGATTATATAATTAATTTAAATACTTCATTCAAATCGCCATTTATAAATTGCCTTATAGTAAAATCGTAAGTAAAAAAGAAAAAAAAATAATAACAAATAAAGATTCTAATAGCAAAGTTTTTTAGCTTAACGTTTAATGTTTTAAAATGAAAAAGATAAACATGTAAAAAAAAAAAAAAAAAAAAAAAAAAACAAAGAATGAATGAACTATGGTGAATAATTTTTTTTTAAATTAATAAATACGAAATCTGCTTTATTAATTGAAAATCCATGAATATGAAAATAAATAAATGAATATAATGAGTATACTCTTAAGTATACGATCAGTTATTAAAAAATCATTAGTAGAAATAATATCTGAGAACTATATAAATTTATATATGTATAATTGTTATTTTTAACAGATTCAATTCATTATTATTATCTTGGTTGATTTTAATTACTTAATAACAGATTTGTAAAGAAAAGTATCATATTGTTTAGTTTTTATTAAAAAACAGTTGATAAAATTATACAGTTCTCATTTATATAAATGTATTGTGAAGTATATATATAAAAAACAAATTTAAAAATTTAAACGTATAAAAATAATAAATTATAGGCACTTTAAAACAGTAAACTTTTAGACAGTATTAAATAATAAATATGTTCAAGGTGGAACTTGATATAATTATTAATTATTTATAAAATATTCAATGAAAATAAGTTCTTTAATAAAAAAAAAATATGAGACTTTTAATATATTTATTGGTATTATTTATTGTTATTTCTTCTTTTAAACTCATTATGATTTATTTTAATTAAAAAAAAAAAAAACCCCTTATTTTTATTAAAAAAAAATTTTTTTTGGTCAAACATTGATTCAAATTAATTAATGAATTAGCAGACATTGACACAATTTTTTGTTTTTATTACAAATCACTGATAAAAAAAATATTTTTAAAAATTTGCATTTTTAATTTTTTTTAACTTTTAAATGTGAAATTTTTTTATTAAAATTTTTTTTATAATAATTTAGTTATTGTAGTAATACAAAAAATTGACAAATGTCTGCCAATTTTAGTATCACATTAATTAACAATGGTTTGAATCAATTTCAATAAATTGGTATTATTTATTGTTATTTCTTCTTCTAAATTCATTATGATTTATTTTAATTAAAAAAAAAAAACCCTTATTATTTATTAAAAAAAAAATTTTTTTGGTCAAACATTGATCCGAATTAATGATTTAATTAATGGGATTGAAATTAGCAGACATCTGACACAATTTTTTGTTTTTATTACAAATCACTGATAAAAAAAATATTTTTAAAAATTTGCATTTTTAATTTTTTTTAACTTTTAAATGTGGAATTTTTTGATAAAAATTTTTTTTATAATAATTTAGTTATTGTAGTAATACAAAAAATTGACAAATGTCTGCCAATTTTAGTATCACATTAATTAACAATGGTTTGAATCAATTTCAATAAATTGGTATTATTTATTGTTATTTCTTCTTCTAAATTCATTATGATTTATTTTAATTAAAAAAAAAAAACCCTTATTATTTATTAAAAAAAAAATTTTTTTGGTCAAACATTGATCCGAATTAATGATTTAATTAATGGGATTGAAATTAGCAGACATCTGACACAATTTTTTGTTTTTATTACAAATCACTGATAAAAAAAAAATATTTTAAAAAATTTGCATTTTTAATTTTTTTTAACTTTTAAATGTGGAATTTTTTGATAAAAATTTTTTTTATAATAATTTAGTTATTGTAGTAATACAAAAAATTGACAAATGTCTGCCAATTTTAGTATCACATTAATTAACAATGGTTTGAATCAATTTCAATAAATTGGTATTATTTATTGTTATTTCTTCTTCTAAATTCATTATGATTTATTTTAATTAAAAAAAAAAAACCCTTATTATTTATTAAAAAAAAAATTTTTTTGGTCAAACATTGATCCGAATTAATGATTTAATTAATGGGATTGAAATTAGCAGACATCTGACACAATTTTTTGTTTTTATTACAAATCACTGATAAAAAAAAAATATTTTAAAAAATTTGCATTTTTAATTTTTTTTAACTTTTAAATGTGGAATTTTTTGATAAAAATTTTTTTTATAATAATTTAGTTGTTGTAGTAATACAAAAAATTGACAGATATCTGTCAATTTTAATATCATATTAATTAACAATGGTTTGAATCAATTTTAGAGACTGATAATTATTGTTTGATACGCATAGTTTGTTTTATGAATTTTTTTTTAATATATATAACCGGAAATAAATTCACTATTCTTTTGTTTTTAATAATTTGTCAAATCATAAGGTTTCGATAGCTGACATTAAACATAAACAAAATTTTTGTTTATTTTTTCTTTATATAAAATTTTTAAGTTTTTTTCTTCTGCTTAGACCAAAAAAGTACTAGTAAAATATAAAATGTATTTTAAAAGTTTCCGCTATTGGTCATAAAGTTGCTTTTACCGACTAAGTGAGAAAATAATAAACAGAATTACGCCATTAAAATTAAATAAAAACCCAAACATTTCATCACGTGGATTAAAAATATTATTATTTATCTTTATTTTTTATAAATATTAGTTCAAAAAAAATATTATTAGTCAATCGAGTAAATAAAAAATTTTCTATTATTGTAAAAATAAATAGCAATGGATAAAAAAAATTCCGATGGCAAACGTAAAGTAAGTATATATTTTTTATGAAAATTAAAAAAAAATTGAAGCGTAATTTATTAATTTTTGTTGTAATTATTATGTATAAATTTTAGTCTCGATCGAGTAATGAAGGTCCACCAGATAAAAAATCACGTATAGACATTGAAGATATTTTATTACCATGTGAAGATCGTAATAACGATTTGAGTTCTCATAGTATACAGAATGTAGTTGAGAGTTCAAATTCGTCAAAAGTTGAATTAATCAAATCTAGTAATGATCCGTCGACATCCAAAGAAAGTCCAACAGATTTAAATGATAATATTACTGATGGAGCTGAAACTAGCAATGATTTTACGCCAAATGAAAACACCATCGATAAAATTAGGTATGACTAGATATTTTATTTTAGTTTGATTAATGGTAAAATTAATGGTAAATAGATGATTAAAAATCATGATATTGAAATCATCAACCGAAATCTTATAATTTTTTTATTTTTAATGAAAAATAAACTTCGCCTAGAAAATTATTTTTAAAAAATTTCATTTATAATTTTTAAAAGCTAAGTATGAAATTTTTTAAATAAATTTTCTTTGCTATAATTTATAGTTTAAAAAATTTCTAAAAATTATCTTATGTCTTTCAATTTAAGTATAATTTTTTACAAAAATTAAATTATTATAAAAACAATGCCACATGTAGAAATAAAAAAAAAAAAATAATTTTAAATGCGAATTTAAAAAAATATTTTTTTATCAAAATTGATTTGTTATAAAAATTTTAAAAATTTTCAAGGGTCTGCTGTTTTCTGAATCATTAAAAATCTAAATAATTCTATATTTATTTTATATATAAATTTTTTTATCATCTTTAAGCTTTCATTATTTTACTATCTCTAAATATTTATAATTATAATGCAATTAATACTCATATATATATATATATATATATGAATAGTGATAGTGATAATAGAGAATCCAGTAAAAAAGATTCCAATGTAAATGAAGAAGATAAGCAAAATTGTCCAGATGAAGCTGTTGAACCATCACCGACAGTACATCAGTCTACATCCGTCGAAGAAGCTACTGGAATACGAGTTCCTGCTGTAAATACTGAAGATAAATTAATTGAATGTACAATTCTTGTCGATACTGTTGAGAAAAAAATAAAATGGAATGACAAAAAAAATTCAACAAGTAAAGATGCTTCAGGCGACTCTGTCAAAAATAGTCAAACTCCTCAAACATCAACAAAGACACCTGCAGCTCCACGAGCTAAATGTACTTTCGGTGCAAAATGTTTTAGGTAATTAATTATCTGATACATTTCATTCTAATAATTTTTTTATGATTTATTCAATATGCAAATTTATGATTATGATTATGATAGGTTAAATTCTGAACATAAAGTTAAGTACAGTCATCCTGGTGACGCGGATTTCGACGTAAAAGACAACAGACCAGAGTGTCGGCATGGAATTCATTGCTACCGAAAAAATTCACAGCACAAAAAAGATTACCAACACACATTAGTTCGCCGAAAGCGAAAAGTAAATGCTAATCAGGTACAAGTGTTGAAAAAAGGCAAAGATGACGACAGCGACAGAGATTCAGATGATTCATCATTTGAAGAGTCCGTAGATGAATCTGAGTACGGGCCATCGGATTTGGACGAAAGTTCTGAGGAAGAAAATGATGTTGAAGATGATGACAGCGATTGGTGAATTTAAATAAATTTTTTCGTTGATTTACAAAAAGTATTTTATTGTTTTAAATAAATACTGATATTTTTGTATATTTATCAAATGTTATATTTAGTATTATTACAAAAGTTATATCTTAGTTTAATTATTTTCACTGTAATTATAATTACAGCACTTGAACGTTACAAAAGATAAGAAATAGGTATAAAATATTTTTAAGCGGCAACACCACTGTGACGATCGACAAAAAGAGGCGATTTTTGAAAATTTTTTCAACAGGGAAAATAAAGGAATTTGAGGATCGGATTTTTTTATTTTATTACGGGTACATTAAAGAGTATTACTATAAATTTTTATTAAAAAATAATTAATTATTCCAAAGTTATTAACAATCTCGTAGAGCACTAGAAAAAATTTCCCCCTCCTTGGTCGGTTCGATAACTCAAAAACGGATCATCTGAAAATAAAAACACAAATTACTTTTTAATCAGTTAGGATATAGTTATCGTCGCACGTACGAAATTTTGAAAATTTTAATTAAAAAAAAAATGGCGACTGATGGAAAATTTTCTCACTATTCTTACTATTTTTTTTTTTTGTTTTAATCCGGCTAAAAAAATCTTTAAAATAAAAATTTTTAAAATTCCGTACTTGCGACGATAACTACATCCTTACTGATTAAAAACCAATTTGAATCTTTATTTTCAGATGATCTGTTTTTGAGTTATCGAACCGACCGTGGAGGGGGGAAATTTTCTTCAGTGCTCGACGAGATTGTTAATAACTTTGTAATAATTAAATATTTTTTAATAAAAATTTAAGCTAATAATCTTTAATGTACCCTTAATAAAATAAAAAAAATCCGATCTCCAAATTCCTTTATTTTCCTTGTCAAAAAAATTCCCGAAAATCACCTCTTTTTTTCGATCGTCACAGTAATGTTTCCCCTTATTGAAGTTGAAGTACTATAAACTATTTAGTACGCCTGATAGCCTTCGTCATCATCGGGAGGATAATTTTCAACAGAAGCAATAGCAGCATCTGCAAGCATATGCTTCGGCATTTCTGATCCACGTACTTTAATAGTATAACAGACGTTTTCCATTTTAACTAAACTTTGTTTCAGAACGTAAAGCTTACGGCGAATTTCCTTGCTTGAATTACCAGAGCAGCCGAGGAACCCTTTATAAATTTCTTTAACCAAGTTGCAAGTTTTGTAGCAACTTGCGATGTCACCAAAAGCTAAATTGTTTATACATTTACGCATTAATTCACCAGTAAGATCAGCAACGCCTAGAATGTACTCGTTGGGTGTCATCAGTGTCCTGTACTCGGACGGAGAGTCATCCAAATCATCCAAATCAGCTTTTTTATTTTCTTCTGCTGTTTGGTCGGCGTAGGTGAGATTCTTATCAACTTCTGTCCAATCCAACAAAGAATCATCCTTCAAATAATTATAAAAAGTCATTGCTTCTATGTACTCTTGGAGACCAGCCGTGTAGGCGCGTAAGTACTGATACGGATCTTGGTTGTTTAACTCGTGGGCAATATTTTTAAATAACGTTTTTGCTAAATTATCCAAGCGTAGTTTAGCTTCATTTAGGATTGCATCTGTTTTGCTTTCTTTGTCGATGGTATGCAATAAAAATATTATGCGTTTGCTTTCAATTGTAATATCACGGCTGAATTTAACAATACGCTCATAACGATCATGTTTATCATCAAGCTCTGATGCATACCCACGGAATTGTTGGATTACTGGGTTACTTTCATCAATGTCATGTAAAATTTCTTTACCTTTATCACCGAAGTTTATTTTATTTTTGTTGCCCTGATGATGGTTGCGATTACGCCTGTTGCCATGGCTACCTATAAAAAAAAAAAAAAAATAGAAAACGAAGATTTACTGGGTAGATTAGAAAATTTTATTGATTAGTTAAAATATTTACTTCTTGAATGTGACATTTTGTAAGTACGTCACTAACTGCTCAAACTGATAATCTTATTGAATAGTCAGCAATGTTGTATTGAGAATTTTTTATATTATTATTAAATGATTAAATGTTGTGATATAGTTTAACAACAAACACGTATGCTACGTAGTATAAATTGATACAGCACAGTAGAAACAGAACAGATATTTGGCGATGAGGTTATTTTTATGAAACGACTAGTGGTATGTCAGGTTATTAAAAAAATTTATTTGTACAGAAATCTATCCTACCTGCAATATAGCAGAATCCGCAGAATCCGATATGAAAATTAAGTTAGCCGACATCTAAAAACTATTACAAAGAAATTTCATTTATAAAAAACTGTAAGCGCAATTTTTAGAAAATATTTTTTTTGTTCTAATTTAATTATTGAAAAAAAAAAATTAAAAACGTCGGCTAACTTATATTTAGTATTATATTATGAATCTCATGAGATTCAAGTTGGAAGACACTTAAAAATTATTTGATTTTTTTTAACAATAAATTAGGTCTAGAAAATTATTTTTAAAAAATTGCATTTATATTTTTTTTAATCTCTTAAAAAATTTTCAAAAAGTGTCAGATGTATTTCAATTTCAGTATCATAAAATTGTTCTATATATTTTGACATACATTTATATTGACTCGTCTGTCTTCAACCTTTCTCTAATATTTGACTCATCCTTTCGTTTCAGCTATAGCAACACTCATGTCTTTTTTTTATTATTACACGCTTTTTATTAGCTTCACTTGTATGTCAGTATGTCAGCAGTATGTCATTCAGTATGTAACTCTCCGTGGGTAATTTGCGTGCCTGCGGCCTTCCTTGGTTCTGGTAGCCGTTTCTCAGGCTCCCTCTCCGAAATCGAACTCTGATTCCCCGTATTTATAATATTTATAAATAATTATTTTATTCTCACTAATCAATAAATTACTTACTGAAAATTTAATTTAATAAAAATAATAATTATAATAGTTTAAAAAAACTAAAAACACGCTTTTTATAGAAAACCAAATTAAAAAATAGAAAATAAATTTTAATAAATTTAAATTAAGAATAGTGTTAAAAATTTCAATAATAGTGTAAATAAAAAAAATGTATCCTAATATAAAATTGAGATGAAATGTATGTGGCATCAAACTATTCGTAACGTGATTGGTCAAATATATCATAAGCATGAAAATATATGCAAACTCCATAGTCAAGGCGCGCGCTTGCGCGCGTAAATTTAAATTCTAGTCCTAATATAAAATAGAGATGAAATGTATGTGGCATCAAACTATTCGTAACGTGATTGGTTGAATATATCATAAGCATGAAAATATATGCAAACTCTATAGTCAAGGCGCGCACTTGCGCGCGCAAAATTCAATTCTAGTTCATATAAAAGTCATATTATTTTATTTTAAAAAAAGCGTGGGGTGCTTTTTAAGATATTATCAAAATGATAATCACTCTACTCATATCTGTCAATAAAATATTTATAACTATTGACACCATGCACCCCACGCTTTTTTTAAAATAAAATACATTTTTTTTATTAACGCTATTATTAATTTATATTTATTGAAATTTTTAATACTTTTCTTAATTTAAATTTATTAAAATTTATTTTCTATTTTTTAGTTTGGTTTTTTATAAAAAGCGTGTTTTTAGTTTTTTTAAACTATTATTTATTACCGTATAGAATACTGTGTTGATATTTTCATTATAGTATTAAGCGATAAAAAATATCAAATGTTACTTCATTGATTTAGTCTCTGGATCAATGTATAATTAAAAAATTTTAAAGAAGATATTGTAATGATTTAAAGGAAAAAAATATTACTTGTAGAGAACCTTTAGTATAAGGATACCAAAGATCATAATTTTTTTTTATAATAACGATTTTTTACAGTCATTCAACCTTTTAGATCCCTACAATTTATCTGCGCTCGCGTACGATGAAGTAACTATTGTTGACATACAAAATTGTTGAAAGAAGCTGTTGATAATTCGGTTAAATGCAAGTGAAACAGTCGGAGTACCGCGAATTAATTACATTGGAAATTAAGCTTTCTATGCTATAAAAAAATAGATTCATTGATTTAAAATGTGTTCTGTAGAAATTGACAGCTAGCTGATTAAAAAAAAAGGAATTGAGACAAAGGAAAAAGTATTGAAAATAATTGGTTTTCTAGTCAATCCAATTCTTTTTAATACTTTTTTCATTGTTTCAATACTTTTTTTTTAATAATAGAAGAATTAGATGATGAAATTTTTTATAATAACTAAAGTTGGCCCCCTTATGATTTTGTTAGGGACAATGATTGTCCTACATTCGTAGAGGGTTTGAGTGGATAATAAAACACTTTTTGAAATGGTACCAAAGAAAGAGTGACAATGAAAATGATGCACTGAAAGTATTTCACAAAGCTATTCAAGAGTTAGAAAAACATATCATAAACACTTGATGGTTATTTAATAAATTATAAAATTGAAGACTATAATTTATAAAGTACTTGAAATACTGAAACAAAATATTTTTCCATGTGGAGTAACAAAGCATTTATAATTAATAAATGTACTTTTATTCCAAAAAAAATATCTATTTAATGTTAGAAATAAATTTATTAATAGTTGAAAAATTTTTCTATCAGTGTACTCTGAATTTGATTTCATAATTTTTGAAAATTATTTTCAGTCGATTAAAATGAAATTTTATGTTACTGACTGATAAATAAGAATATTACTTAATATTTTTCATAAATCATAAAATTATAAAGTCTGTTTTTTCAGCTAAAAACATCTAGTTGTTTTTACTTACACATCTTTAGTTGATTAATAAAATACACTCAGAACATTCAAATATACCCGTCACTAAGATTTTTTTTGGTTGATCGGACGAAAAGTCGTAATGAGATACAGGATTGTCAATTATAGAGGAAGAATTTGGTCAAATATAGAAAAAAGTCAACAAAACATTAAAAAAAAAGTTCAATTTACTCTAGATTGTATTATTGTGGATATGTTTATCTGTAGAGATTCTAAAATAAATAAAGGAAAAACTAAAATTAACTTACTTGCATTTGATGGACTCTCAATTAAAAAAATATGGTTCAAACATGTATCCATAATGATAACTTTAAGCTATAAAAAAAAAAAAAGACACAAAGGAAGTTAATAAAAACTAATCAATAACGAAGCATAATTGTATGAATATTTTTATTCGTCATTAATTTCTTTTCATGCACCACAGCCAGCACCAATCAATTTAGAGTTTTATTACTCACAATGTTTTTTATGTAGTGATTCAATTTTTATGCTTGTTAGACGATAACAGCATCAATTTAATTAGTTATAAATATCACTTAATTATCGATGGACATATTGTGTATCTATCAAAATATTTGTTTTAAAAAAAGCCCATCATTTAATTAACTTATTTACTTTTATATGATAATGTTATTATGTTAACTTCAAAGTTTTACATTTTGATTTTGTATTTCAGCATACAAATTTTTGAGCGCTCTACTCAGTCATTTACCCACAAGACATATTTTTTTTTTTTAATGCGATCAAATCATTTAATTTACAATTTTTTATAACATACAATTTAAAACGCTTAGTAGTACGTATACTCATCTAGAGTTTTAAAACTCGTTCAAACCAATAAAATTTTCTCTCTTACTGTTTCATAACTTAATATCTTACAAATAATTATTTTTTTTTTTTCCCATTACAATTATGATTCGAATACTGTATAGTAATAAGAGAATAATTTCTCTATTTAGTTATATCAATTAATATCATTATACGTATTTTCATTTACACCTATTGTAATTAGATATTTCAAGCGACAATTGACTATATAAGATTATTGTACATTAAATTATAATTATTGATGTTTTTTTTTTTTTTATAATGATGATGATGGTCAAATAGATAAAATGAAATGTTCAATTTAATACAATGATAGTTCGATTGATATTGCTCAGCAAAAAATATATTATTTAGTACTCATACGATTTTCAAATTTTTCTTCAAAAAAATGTTAGTTGATTTTTTTACAAATTAATTCTCTTGCTAGTTTTTTGTTTATTACACTTAAAACTGTTAAATTCAACAATATTGTGCGTATTCACAATCAGCTTGTTAAAAAATAAAAATAAATAATAACATGAATTACTAATTTAATTTCTAACTTACATATTTTCCAATATTTATTTATAAATATAAATACCTAAATTATCCATTCGTTGTTAAATCTGCGCGTGATTTAATTATTTAAAGTTATTATTATTATTATTTTATTAAATACATCCTATATCTTTATTTGCGCTTTAATATTTGAGCTATTACAATATTATATAACATTCCAACAGATATGTTAAACTAACATAAATCTAGTTTTCAGCACATTTTATACAAAAAATATTTTAACATTGCACAAATAGATCATTATCAATTATAATTTTTTTAAATATTAAATAATAGTAAATATAAATTATTTTTATAAAAATAAATGTAAAACCAAAATTTTTATTTTGGCAGTGCGTTCAATTTTTTTTTTTTTTTGTCTTATGAGTATGAAGAATAAATATTCATGTTAAATAAAAAAAAATTTAAGTAAAGAATAATATCTCACCCTACCTAATATAAATAATTATTTTTCTTGCAATTAATAAATTAAATCATAACCGTTCAAGAAAATAAAAAAACAAAAAAACTTAACAATGTACACTCAAAATAAATATGTTCAAATAAAAATAATAAATATTTTTCTTAACGAATACTCATCATCACAACTTATCACAAAATTCATTAAATTTAAAATTTTCTATTATTTTCAATTAATTATTTAAAGTATTAAATGAAATCACTATCTAATTACAATTGTTTGTGACTTGTTGACAACCTTTTTCATTAAAAATTAATTACCCTATTATAAATAAATTATTGATTGTTGCAAAAAATAAAATTAATAATTATTTGACTCTATATTAATTTTTTTTTTTATATTATATTTAATAACGTATATCAGTGAAATTTAATCTAAAGTCTGTACAGTCTATAGACTGAAAAACTCAGTACAAACATAGATTAGCTATCGATCATTTAACTTTCTAGGACATATATCCGTACACATATCAATAATTGTTACGAAACAACTAAAATAACATTTTATTTTAATAGAATCATCTCTCTTTCTTCTTATTCTTCTTCTCATAGTTAAATATTAATAAATTAGAGTGTCCTATATTTTAAAACAAAGAGTAATAATATCTTATCTCCTTTATATTCCAATAATTAACTTCATTAATTGTAATGATATATAATCTTCGTCTCTAAACATGAGGTTACTTCACTTAATGGAAGTGATCAAATTTCCACAAAATATCAATCAAATTAATATAATATATTTTGTAGATCCTCCAATCTACCCACCTAGGAAGCAATATATTTATTGCGAATATCGCAATAATAAATAACATCCAAGTAGTTAATTAAATAAAGGAAATAAAATATCAACACTTAAAAAATATAAACTTTGTCTTGATACTCGTAATTTTTGATAAAAATAAAATTAAATCAACTATCTAATCTTCCTTAATGACTAGATTATTTTGTAACTCCCGGTTTTCGTTTTCTCGCCAAGAATTGAGCGTGCAAACATCATCACCACGCCACCATTCATTAACATCCTTGTAAAATTTTGGTTGCCTATTGTCGTGAACCATCGCACAAACACGACACCAAAAATATGTATTAATAAATTCACCGGTACCTTTCCATTTGAAGTAGGAGTTATATAATTCATCATCACGGTCAAGCCGATGAAGATAATCAGCTAATTCACGCGGAGATTCAAATTCATCAACGTGAATGTAAGATCGATAAGGAGCACTTTTTGCGTAATCTGTTGGGTGTGCGCCCATCACGATCGGCAAAACATTGTGCCTAAAAAACAATAAAAATATTAATCAATCATGAGTAATTTACAATTGAATAACAATAATAGTAATGGAGAGTATCAATTTACCCCAGTCCATTGACGAAGAATTTTTCTGTAATATAATCGCGACAATTAGAATTTTCAAAGGCCAGATAAAACTTGTAATCAAGATCTAGCATTTCAAAACAAGTTTGTGCTTGTGATCGTGAGCATCTTAAAGTACCGCAGGCTCCATAAATATCAACTTGAATATATTTTGATAATTCTTTGGCATATTGCATTCGTTGATTGCGAGCATGACAATTAGACACAAACCAAGCGACTTTTTTCGTTTTGTTAGCGGCATAATTAAATGTTTGTGATATTTGCGTTATCCTTGGATCATAATACTGCCATCGTTCGTAAGGCGCAACGATATCACTATCTCTACGGTATGTTGCTGTTAAATTAACTATCGCATTTTTCACTGTTTGGGTATGATAAGGACACTCAAGAAAGTACAACATCCAGAGCTATAATTAAATAATAATTGTATAATTATTTTTTAAATCAATTTTTCTTGAGATTTTTAAACAATATTTTTCTATGACATAATTTTTTTTCATATATATATTTTCCTTTGAAAATTTTTTATTTATTGGCTATCCAGTCTAATACAACAATTTTTTTCTCTAATTATAATTTTTTTTGCTTGAATTTTTTTAGCTTTCACTTCATATATTTATCAGAAATGTAAAAATATAAAAATAAAAATTTTTTGTTTCATATTTCAATAAGTTGAATGTTTAATAATTTACCTGATTAGGAGATCTGCGGCCTATATGAGTCACATAGTCTTTAAACAATATCAAATCTGCGGAATCTGGATTATCACGAGTAATAACACAATTATTAACTGGGCATCCTAACCATTGAAATAATTCATTGCCTACTTTAGCTTCGTTCATTCCATGAGGAATCATTATTTTCTTTGGTGGACGTTCTGAACTTTTATCATAGTCTGATGGTACAAACATGAGCTGAAAAAATTAATAGTATGATTTTAAAAAAATACGAAACAACGCTTATTAATTATTGAAATTTTTTATTACCTGGTTAGTGATACGGTCATCGTTTGGATCTTCATCAGGCCACAACCTTGCTATTCTTCGGCCAGTTTTTTTAGATTTAACAGCAGGAATCGGTCGCTTTGTACCGCCTTTCATGTACCATGGCCTTTTCGAAGGATCTGAGAAATCGGAAATAGGCTCCGATGCACTAGTTGTCCCCGTTACATTTGAAAGCTTTTAAATAATTTTAAAAAATAAGTATACGTCGAAAATTAAATTATCTCACTATTATTAAATAATATTTTACAGAAACTTTTTTTTAACGACTGTGGAACTAAGATCGAAATTTTATACGTTAAGAGATTGAATTCCAATTATTCTCAATTATTTCTTATATTTTTTATTGAAAAAAAAAAAAAAAAATTCTTCTTGTTAAGAAAATATGAAATCTGAGAAAATAATACGGATTAAAATAAATTTTTCTTCCTCTTGACAGCTCATAAAACGAGTATAAAATATGTTAAACTATCTTTTATACTGACATAATTGGATTAAGTACATTTACCTTGATCCCAAACATAAATTGACATTTTACATTCAGTTCACAGCAGAGTAACTATTTTTCGTTACATCATTTCATTTTTATTAAAAATTCATATAACTTTTAAACAAAAAATACAATTAAAAATTAATAAATATGAAAATAATTCAGATTATTAATACTACTGTTTATTCAATAATTAAAGATGTTAAGTGTTGAACTAAAGAAGTATTTTTGACAAGATAAATATTTTTTTGAGGTGAAAAAATTTTTTTTTGGATTTAGAACAATCTCGCGTTTTAAGAAAATTTTTCTTTTCAATTTTTTCCGTGTTTAAAATTTAATTTTTTTTAAATTAATAATAATAAAAAAAATTAATTTCAATCAATCTAATAATGTTTAAAATAATTCCATCTTTTCTCACATTTTATCTAAAACCAGAGTTACACATGTGTGCCTGTGAAATAGTCGGTCGCCAGTGAAGTATATATTCATAATAGTGTTCAACAAGGTAAGAATAATAACAATGATACAAATGATAATGATAATTCATGTATATAATTTGAAAATCGAAAAAAAAAAACATATAAACACAATGTCAGAAATTGTTAATTGTATATCTATTGTTATTAATGAAATAATAAAGGTATGTAAAGTCTAATTGTATTGCTTTGTAGTTCTAGTTGCCTACATAGTGCAATATAAAATGTATATACATGTAAAATTAACTCAACTATGACGACCTAGTCGACATTAGATTATTTTTTTAGTTACATTTTTTCTTTCTATTTACCAAGCGAACGTTTGTGGGGACTTGATAATGGCAATCAATTGTTGGTTTTCCGTTTGGCGATACAATCTTGTATAAAATATTGTATTTTTCATATTTTAGGTTTTAGATTTTATTTAAACTAATAAGCTGTGGCTATGAATGTATTTAACAAAAAAAAAAAAAAAATTATCAACAATTTAATGACTGCAATTACCAAACCGGTATTTCTATGAAGCTGAATATCAATAAATAAAATAAAAGAAATGGGTTTTGCGACAACGCGTGCCGACTAATTTAAGAACAATAATACTCTAAGGTAAGTGCAATAAATAAGCTAATCAATGATAATAATAGCAATAATTATCATTATTATTAATCTATATGCTATAGGCATTTCAGAACTTGGCTCTGAAATTTACCTCAAATATTTTATTGAATGCTTTGTCCTGTGTGATTGACCTTACGCGCGGTATCACCGTCAACGGCTTCTTTGTTTTCAACGGCAACGAAAGTTTCATCTTAATCTGCGAGTTAAATTTTACCTTAGATCTTCAAAGGATTAAAAAAAAAAAAAAAAACTGAATAAACATAATATAATACGGGTGACTTAAAAGTACTATCAAGTACTCGACTACAAAAACATGGACAACTGCCAACTTTTTATTTCAAGTATACAAAATATATAAATATAAAATGTTGAGATTAACAGTTATAGTTAAGTATCAATTGACTATCACTAATCAATACTCTATTTACTATTATTAGTACTTATTTTTTTTTTTTATTAATTAATTTTATTGATTTACCTTATTTGTTTCAGGAAGAGGTCGAATTGGTTGTGATTGTCCATCGGCTCGGATAGAATGCCACAGTTCTTTCTGCCGTACATTCATCACCAGCAAAATCATAACAGTTGCGCAGAAAACATACAAAAAGCATCTTTTTAGCGATAATCGAAGTAAGCCCATGCCAATTTGTATTTATTCGCCAGCTTATTTAATCCTCAGCGAGTGCTCTGCGACTTTTTATAACTTCTCAGCTGAAATGATTGTTTTCAATCAGTCAATCGACATTCGTTCCTGCAATAAACATTTTGAGTTATTAACTTATATGATAATTTGATAATAAATGTAAACATATATAATTATATTGCTGATAATTGTGCTGCTTTTGATTTCATGGGCTACAATCAGCAAATCAGCATTCTAGCCGTAGTGCTAACGTACTTGCATCTCTACTAACGTCTCTAAGATAACTATAGTCGCCGTCTATTTATTTTTTATCACGTCTCAGACAATTTTTATTATTCAGTATTATATGGTACAATGTAAACTATTATATATTTTTGATTATATTCCAGACATACTGTATAAACATTAATTATTTATTTATTTATTTACTTATTGTAACAAATTATAATTCTTGCCTTTAGTTACTAATATAAGTTATACTCTGTGTAAACTGTTTAGTGACCCTGTTATTGGCCTTACAGCTGTTGGGTCTTATTATATTGAAATAAATAAAATTTTATATTGTTAAATTTGTTATAAATTATAAAGTGATAAACATTTTTTGTTATAAATATTTGATTGTCGCGTGGATTATTTATATAATTATTGATCCTTCAAGTCAACGTTTTATCAATTAATCTACAATTATTTTGCATTGAATTTTATTGAAAAATTTTTTTATGATATTCGTAAACTTATAAGTAGGTAAAAAATTTAATAATTGATTTATCATTGAAAAAAAGATAAAAGTTTGATGTGGATATGACGTATATTTAATTAAGGGAATACATATAAAGTCTTATATAAAATCGGTCAATTGTATTCACCTGATCAGCACAGTAATTGACAGAATACCAATACTGTGGTATTATCTTATCCAGACGTTCTGTTCCGGCGATTAAATATAAGAAGATTGAGTTATTTACGCCCACCGTACTCTGTGGTTACTAAGTGGCTTAAATGTAATCGTATGTTCAACTTTTATGCATTTAGTTAATATTTCCATAAATTCTAAATTAGTCTACTTTTACTAGTTACTCACTTTATATTTATAGTTCATTTTTATAGCATTGACAATTTATAATGGTAGACACCTGATAATTTTTTAGACGTACATAAACAAATTACATATTATTAGCATAGATATCATTTACAATTTTTTGGTATAAAACGTATCGCCATAGTTATTATACTTGTTTGCTAAAATTTTTACAAAAAAAAAATTAATCTTACTGACAAAAAAGGAAAAATTACTTTAAATTCAACCTTGAGTTTCATAATTTGTAACCATAAAAATGTTCAATAATATTGAAGTTGGCAGAAATTGAAAATTTAATAATTTAAAAAAAAATGTTTTTAATTAGCATGACTTTAGTTTTTTTTGGAATAATTTCTTTTTTTAATTTTTGACCTCTTTAATTTTCATGTCATCAATTTTGATCGAGTAAAAATTTTTTTGTAATGCTACGCCTCATAAATTGTATAAAAAATATGAGTTTTCTAGGGAAGGTCCCTAAATCACTGAACTTATTTTTTTTTTCTGTTTTAAGTAAATTCTTTTATATATAAGTCAGCGTTAGAAGTAAGATATATATCTAATATATCGTCTTGATAGTATTCTGTGCGACAAGGGATGAAACTAGATGATTTCAGAAGAGGGTAAGTGTTGATTCATCATCCACACTCTTGAGTCGTTTTTCATTCTGTGCCAAGCACACATTTTCTATGCCAGCATAAAACTATGTAACATAAGACCCTAAGTGAATTTTTCAATTTGATTAGATATTTTGGAGTCTATTGTAGATAAAATTTATTTACAACCATGAAAAGATTTATCAAAAATTTCAATTTTTTTTTTTTTTTTTTAATTATGAAGATCATTTAATTGTTCGGTATTTTCTTTTCTTACTGTTTTTTCTTTTCAACTTATTAATTAAAATTTATCCTGTAAACTATTAAGGAAGTAATTGTGAAAATATTTAATTACAATTTAAATAAAAAAAATTAAGTTATAAAGTTGTATTAATCTCCAAATAAATACCATTTTCTTCCAAGTAAAGTATTTGCAAACTTCACAAGTGTTGAGCTATAGAATTTCAGATATTTTCATAAAAAAATGGTAAATTATAGATAGTAAGCAACGAAAACTTGTAAAATAAAGACACTAGTTTTGTTTTTATCCAATAAATATTATTATGCAATTTCACAAAAGTGAAGAGAAAGAGAGAATAGATATCCTTGTCTCGGAATTCTCTACTAGAATTATTTCAGTATACCCATGACAGTATAATGCTGTGTGTATAGTATTCAACAATACTTATTGTGTGAAACAGAACAGCAAATACTCTAATTTTGTTAACGAGAGTGTGTCATGTTTCTTTTAAATTTAAATATTACAAGATAACAAAATTTTAAAAAAATTTTTGAGTAATGAAATACATGTAAAATTTATTTTTTTACTTTGATAAACTATATACATACACGGAAAGAACAAGATGACACTGGATACCATCTCAGATTATACTCAGTGACATCTGAGGCGAAAAAAAATTTCAGATGGTAGCTAGTATAATCCAGATTATACTGAATAATATCTCGATTATACTTTTCAGATGGTAGCTAGTATAATCCAGATTATACTGAATAATATCTCGATTATACTCATTGTTATCTGAATTATACTAGCTACTATCTGAAATTTTTTTTCACTCAGTATAATCTTGTTCTTTCCGTGTACATATGCAATTTTTTTTTCTTATTAAAAATATTTCAAACGATTTATTATTATAATATGTATTATTTTTATTCATTGATTGAAATGTGTAGTCAATTATGTCAAATTATACGAACAAGTAGTTCATTAATCGATTAGTTATTTATTTTCGACTTAACATATAATTATCCTTAGAAAAATTTATGTTTCACAATTTTTTTAAATTATTATAAAATGTGTAAAATATCAATAATTTAAATTAAAAAAAAAAAAAAAAAATTTCTTAAACCGACAATTTTTTAATTGAAGAGAAAAAACAACTTTAAGGTATAAAAAAATAACTTATCTCTATGTGATGTTTCAGTCAGAATTAATCATTATCGTTCTATATTGTATAAATTAGAGCAAAAACTTTTGACACAACTTTGCTTGTTTGTAAACTAAGTAATTTTCCAGATCGATAGCATGGTAAATGAAACTTTTTTAAAGTTACTTAATTGTATTTAAAATTTTTATCCTATCCAGCTACATTATTTTAATATTTTACTTAATTATTTTATTTGTTACCACAGTTTAAAAAGTATTAATAAATGATTATTATAAATTATTACCAATAAATAATTTATGACTGTAGCTAGAGAACTTTGAAAAGAAAACTGATTTTTTTTAGTGACAAAATTTACTGTTGAAACTCATGTAATTAAAAGGCCAATAACACTTGAGTAAACTAACAAATTTATTTACTTAAAACTAGTGTAAATTTGTCAAGATATTTTCCACATAAAAAATATATGTAAATAGAAATTAACATACTATAAATGGGTTATTATTCAAAAAATTAGATACTATTATGACTAATTTTTTAATTTATCGTGTTCGTAAATACTATTTATTTTTTTACTATCTGGCTGTATTGCTAACCGCTAAGTATTATGGATTACTTCTATCCCAACCTTGATTTTTACATCATCTGTATTTTTATTCGTTATAATTGAATCAAGAGACAACACAAGTTATTATCGAATAATAATTAAACCGGACTTGTTAAATATTCAAATTAAATTACACGCCCCTAAAATTTGACATTCTCTTATAAAATAGTTAACATTATCAACAAAAAAATCAAATTATTGAAGAAGAAATAATTACTCTCATAATTTTAAATTATTAATTTTTCATACAAAAAATTTAACGAAAAAATTAAAATATTACGGATGAATATAAATAAATAAATTATTTAATTTTAAGTTATTTTTGCCTATGAATAAATGTTTGACTTTATGTATAAAAACATTATTACAATACAATTCATATTATTCCCTTTTGCACCAGCTGAAGTTTGAATGAAAGGAAAAAATATAATATAAGGGGTAGTAAGTACAATACAATAGAAGCTAATATTCATAGGTACATTGATACATAACTTGAGTGTGCAAACACATGTAAATATTTGGCTTACCTTTATAAATTTTGATTCTATTTTTATTAAAAAACTCGACTAATTAACCATCGAGGTGAAAAAATGAATAAAGTTACAATGACACACTGTTTGATGCCTAGAACCGGCGGCATAAATTTTAAAAATATGTACAGGCACCATCAAGCACAATAACAGAAGTCACATGACACAAATACTGGTTGCAAGAGTCATCTTACTGCTAAAAGTTGATAATATTGATAACATAGATAATATGTATTTTTGAATACTGACAGTACTATTTTTCGAATTATAAAAAAATTTTTATATCACGAATAGATACTGTCAGATCAGCCCCTTTTTAGCCCCCCGGTCTTTAGCGACTATAACTCACCGCACCTTTACAGTGTGTACTGTATTTGCTCCTCCCATGTACATTTAACAAGATACCACTACCCGCGAAAAATAATCCATAAGCTTCGCGTCTGCGCGCTGTTAAAGTTGATACATATGTTATCATATACATGAACATTATCCACCACATTAGCTGGCTCTTTTAAACATCTATTTGTTTCTATTGCTAAATTTATATTTTTTTTAAGGTTTTTTATGTTAAAAACTCTTTAAATTGTTATCTTAAAACTTTTTTTGGGGATCATTTTATCCAAACTTGGAAAAATTTTTTGGTTACATAAAATATTAAGGGTAGGCCGTATAGTAGATTTATTTTTAGAAGTTATGTTTTTTTAATTACTTAAAAAATTTTTTAACTGGGTATTATAAAGCATCTGTATCAGGTAGTTTTTTAAAAACTTTATTTCATTTGATGACCAAAATTTATTTTGGACGTAATTATAACAATAAAATTTCTAAAAATATATTTACTATACGACCTACCCTTAACATTTGAAATTGTTATTTGAAATAAAGGACACAAAAAAAATATAAATTTAATAATAGAAACAAATAGATGTTTAAAAGAGCCAACTAATGACAAAAATATTTGGTTTGTATGAAATTATTTTCTTTTATTCAATAAATGAGTTATAATATTAAACACTTTTTCTTTTATAAAAAATATTAAATTAATTAATTATTTAATAAATGAATTTAATTATTTACGGCTTTCTTATTATCATTTTCATCAGGCTGATTTGGTGTGTTTTTTTTATTCATACGGTTAATTAGTAACTTCACTGATTCTTTAGGAGTATCGCCTTCTGTAAAAATATCATTTTATAAAGAAGATATAAGTTAAAATTGTAAAAATCGTTTAATTTTTTAAAACTCTTACTTATTGGAAAACAGCTGCCATACTTTTCTAAAAAATGTGCTACTGGGGAATCTGCAGGCAATATTCTAATATACATCACATTGAAACCCAAAAAAGAATTCAAATCGATTGAATTATCCGGTTTTATCTGTCAATAATAAATGAAATTAAATATTATTATTTTAATTACTACAGTCAATGAAATCATTTTAAATAATGATCAAAATTATATATCTTACGGCACCAGTTTGTTGAAGACCCTGTGTGAGAACGTCGTAAATTTGTTCTTTCTCCAATTCATCCATGTCTTCAAATTTAACATTCTGAAGATGATTGAACATACGCCCTATTACTTCCGTCAAATTTTCTGAAGTATCTGGTGAGTTTTCTTCCATATTCAAACCAATTGTATGTTATCAAAAATGAGGTTATATCTGAATGAAGAAATATTTATTGATTGAAGCTTTGTAAATGTTGTGAAAATTAACTTAAGAGAAAAATGTAATTAAAGAAACATTTATAAAATATTCATTTATCTTAACGAAACTTCGAAGAAAATTTTAATAAATTTATCTTCTGATGCTTAAACAAAGATTTCTATCAGTGAATTATTGACATACTGAAAAAAAAAATTTTATGACCGGCTTCATCTTCTGTATTGTTTCAGACGACCGAGAGTATCGTTATAGGTACGATCCAAGTAGCTATATAAGAAGCAGTCTGGATCGCGATCGTTGCGATCTAGTGTTGCCAGATTGAGCTATTTTTATTTGCGATCGGTGGTTAAATTTTATGGTTGGCCTCTAGTAACCGATTGAATCTCAAGTCTAAAAAAAATTATTTTTTTTCGGAATATTAATAATTTTCTCTAATGAACAACTGTGACTACAAAGAATATTTAATGGTTTGCGCGCAAAAATTTGTATCTTTTCTTCACCAAGAAATTACTATAAATAATTAATATAAATAATTTATCAATTTTGTGAATAATGATTGTAATAATATTATTATAATTATTTTCATAATGATTAATTATATATTTTATTGATAATCATCAATACTGTGATAAACATTTTCACTGCTTGAGTAATAAATAAACAATTTCGCTGGGACTTATACAATTTCTTGCAAAATAAAATTTGAAATTTTGTAATAGCATGATATTTCTTCCTGACTAAGCTATTTTTGAGCTACTCCAATGCCGCACTCATCCGCGGTTTTCTTTAAAATTTTTCTTGCAACACTAGTCCATTTGGCGTGGAAGAAAAAGCAGCTTGTTGGCCATTTTTCGACAAAATGGTCCGATTTTGGTTTTTTTTTTAAACAGAGTTTTAGTGCTGAGATTTAAATTAAACTATCTCGGAAACTACGCAAACTACAAGTCGAGACATGATTGCTTTTTTTTTTTAAATTATAGCTACTATTATTATAAATAGATAAGAATTATAAAATTGAACTATATGTCCGTATAATTTATTAATTAAATACTTATTGCGTTGATATGAATAGACAAAAATTTGGTGTTGAAATAATTAAACACGATATTCTTACAATTTAAATGTGATTTCTGGCGAAAAAATATAATTTTTTTGTACAGTATAAGTATAAGATTGTAAAGTAATACGTGTTGACGGAGCGTGTGCGTCAGTTATTATGAGCCAGGCAGTGCGATTGAGTGGGGAGAGCTATTGGAGAAAAAATATTAACCAATATGATGTAATTTGAAAAACCTCGGAAAAAAAAACAGTAAGATCTACATTAGTTAATTATTATTAATCAATTAATAAATTTGTTACCACGTAGCATTATCATATGTCGACCATTAATGATGTTCATTTGTAAATTAAATTTCTTTTTATAGTTTACTCTTGCATCACCTTAAACTTTGAATTTTTTCATAAAATTTTGTCTTTGATAATGAGCTTGGAACATGGTGAAGAAAATAATAAAAATTTTGCATAAAAAATTGACACGAACTTTATGAATTTCCGAGATTTTTTTTAATTACTAACAAAAAATAAAATAAATTATCGTATGTAAACGGTAAATAATATTTAATTTATTTTACACTACATAATTTCTATTTTAATATTAATTATTTTGAACAAAAGAAACTAAAGCTTCATGGTAATTTTTTTCTGCAATTCGTACTGCGTTTTTGAATACTCTGCAGGTAACTAATCTTGAACAACTGCCATGCCTCAAGAAAATTTTCATATTTTCTAAAAACAAATGAAAGTATTGATTAGTAAAATAACTTTTGAATTATAATTTGAATTAATAACAAACCATACTTTTAAAAGTTTTAATCATGGTATCACAATAAGAAGATCCGCGAAGAAAACATTCGATAGCCGTTGCCTCATAACTATTGTCATGGTGAGGATATCTTTTGTTCAAGATTTCAATGCTACTGATGTTTGAATAAAATCGATCTTCTTTTTCAGAAATAGACTCTTCATCCATTTCGGTTTCTAATTCAGAATTTCCTTTATAATCTGCTATAATTATTTTATGAACTTCGGCTGAGTAGTTTGCTTCTAAAACATTCTTAATGCTGTTGAACCAATCGAATGTATGTCTGTTACATCCAACACATATACCTAATTCTAAGAAGTTTAGCATTGTATCTGTCAATTATACAAAAAAAGTTTAGTTAAATAAATTTGGTTCATAAATTAATAATTCGAGTCTTAAAGACTTAAAAAAAAATTAATTTAATTTAATTCAATTAAATAATTTAATTACAGATGAATGATGGTTTGTTAACATCAATTTATCTAGAGTAAAACTTTGACGTTTTCTTCTTTGGCAATTTTATTTTTCAATATTTTAAGATAGAAATCAAAATTTTTTGAAATAATTTTCAATTGAAATATTTAAAAAATTTTCAAAACTAAATTACAGTTTAGTCTAAATTATTTTTCTTCGAAAAATAAGAAAATTGTACCTTTAAATTCTTTAATCAGCTTTTTACACTGATTATCACCAATTAAACAATCCGCAACCATTCGTTCATAAGCATGATTTTTATAATCACGATCCATTGATTTAAAAAATAACTTCTTAGGTTTATGAAGACGCGGCTTTTTAATATTTTCTAATTTATCGGCGCTGTACATTGCTTTGATGACAGTCCACTCTTTGGGATAGTATTTTTTTAGATGAGAAAACTGTGTTTTTATAAATACTTTCATCACTACACCATACTCAGTTAAGTCATTGTCAAAATAAGGCACTAATGCATCTGCAAATAAATTTAATGTTAATAATTTATTGTATTACAGATAATTTAATTAGAAGATTATCAATATCTTTATAGGCAAGAATAATTTACATACTTACTTTTCAACACAGAATCGAGTCTATCACAAGGAGTCACATCGAAAAAACACCCTAAATAATTTGAATATCTCTTTGGGAAAAACTTCAAATGATCGACAGTTCCTTCAGTTGAACACAACATTAGAGCAAAAATTACCACGAATAAAAATAAAAACACCGATCGAATTTTCATCTTTATATGCGGGTTTTTTTTTTTATAACTAAGGTTGCAAGAACACTAACTTAAGTGACGAGATTTTGAACCTGCTCACAGCTGGCTGCAAGCGTGAGACCTTTTTCAGGTAAAAACTAACATCTATTATTCCCTTTGATCGAGGGAAGGGGAGTTTATTATTCTAGGATACATTGGAATTTTATTTTATAAGCTTCACAAGTATTATTTTTTAAGTAAATATACATATGTATTCTTTTTAAATTGAATAATTTTTTATGCATTTTTTTAACTTTTTCAAACATATATATGGATTCTACACGGAAATAAAATTGTAGGAAAAATTAGAATTCGTAATCCAAGACCGGACTTTCAATATCTTCACTTTCATAATTTTACATTTTAAAATTTACAAGGGTACATCGTAAAAATTTTTATATTGACTACGTTTATACGCATTTTTACGATGTAGCATCGTAAATTTTAGAATGTAAAATTATAAAAGAGAAGATATTGAAAGTCTGGTCCTATAGTTTACAATGTGACAATTTTAATTTTTTTTTTTCCGTGTAAACTAATATAGAAAACCGCAAAACCAAGAAGATATGTTTTGTTATTTTTTTCCTAATTTCCGAATTTATTGATAAGAACTTTTTTTTTTGTTTAATATTTTGAAAAGAAAAAGTTTAAAAAAAAACACTGTACTATGGTAATGAGAATTAAATTCATAAAATTAGAGCTTAAAGGTATATTTAATTGTTAATAATCAATATGACAGTTCAAAATTTCAATTCAGTAATATTTTATTAGATTCAAATTTTATTAATTTAATTATGACACTAAAGTTAGCTGACGTCTAAAAATTTTTGATTTTTTTTTATTAATTAAATTACAACTAAAAATATATTTCTAAAAAATTGCACTTATAGTTTTTCAAGTTTTTTACATGTGATATTTTTTTTTTTTAATTGTTTAATTGAAATTTTTTCAATAAAAAATTTCTAAAAATTTTGAAATGTCGGCTAACTTCATTTTCATAATTTAATTAACAAATTACATCATAATTTTTGTATAATAGATGGCTCCGATAATCTAATTGAAAAATTAATTTGTTTTTTTTTGATGATATGAATATTAATTTCTAAAAACAGTTCAAAATCATTATGTAAGCTCATGTAGGGTCAGTTCTCATTTTGACAGTAATTACATTAACGTACGATCGAGTAGTTACTGATGATTTTTTAGTGTGCACCGTATGGTATAATAACGACTGACGATATAGCGAAAATGACGTTTCTGAAAGAAGATAATGTACCTTGTCTTGTCACAATCATTCAGTGAAGTTAAAGTTAGTTGAACAAGAAGAATACATAAGCACCATCCTTTATGTATTTTAGAAATTTATTTATATTTATGTATATTATATTTCATCACGATGATGAAAGACATAAATAGTTGTGATCTAATTTTTAGTAAATATTACCCAAAATGTTGGATATTTTTTTTAAAACATATTTATTTTCATAGATGAGTGATAACTAATAACTAATGAATTATAATAATAATAATAGTTATAGATAAAAATATTCCATAGCTGTAAAATAGTTTAATATTTTTTAAAAAATGCTTATTAAATAAATTTAACAAATTAACGATGATTCTTGGCATTCTAACTCGTGGAATTAATAGTATTATGTGAGTTTAACTTTTCATACTTTATATTAACTTTCATTGCTTCTTAATTATTTATATTATTTATTATTTTTTATATTTTTTGTGTGATTAGTGGACTTTTATTGAGTAATTATTTTTTTTTACAGGGAGATGATAAATATGAATTTATACACCATTATTCCTATTCACGAAAGACCTGATTTGTATATGGATTGTTGTAAACTTATCAATTCCGAATGGCCTTCTAGTGACACCAGAAGGTAGTTTATAATTAGATAAATATATGTATTAAAATTAATCTTTAATTGAAGGATTTTATTTTTTAATTATACTTTGATAATTTTTTATCTACAAAAAATATTTTATTAGTGAATATAAGCTCTGAATTTTTTTTTTTTTAAATATAAATAAAAATCACGGTTACAAGTGACAGATATAAAACTGGCACGCGATTGACATTTATCTTATCATTATTCTCAATAATAAATTCTTAATTTTCATTATAACTATCGTGAAATTGGTTTTAATAATTTCGCAGTAAAAACTTGAATCATTATTTTTTTTTTAAATTATAATATTTTAATCCTTTAAATTTTTAATAAAATTTTTTCAATTATTAATAAGCTTCAATGAAAATATTTCTTAGAGCTTAAGTTAAAAATTTATTGAAACATTTCTTATGTTTACATTTTTTAAAATAGTAAAATTTTATCACATTAAAGTTAGCAGTCAAATAAATTATTTTTAATTTTTTTAAATTTCTATAAGTCAATTTTTTTTTTCTAATTTTTTTGTCATAATTTATTTATTACAAAAATTCTTAAAATTATCAAATATCTGCTAAATTAATTTTCATTAAAATTTTATATTGAAACTATATGAATAATTTTAAGACTTTATAAATGCCAAAAAAATATATTTTTATCTATAAATTACATTATTTAAACAGATTAAGAACACTGAGGATGTCATGTGATAATTTTCCAACTTGTTTGATACTTATAATTGACAACAAAGTAATTGGACATTGCAAAATATCACTAGTACCTAAACTCAATGGCAGCTGTTTCATAGAATCAGGTATTAAATAATTCAGTAGCATTATTAAATATTACTGACCATAAAAATAATACTAATAATAATAATTGTAATTGTAATTGTAATTTATTTAAGAGGCCGTAGGATAAAATCCTCTAACGGCCTAAAGCAGATACAAAAATATACAGAGTGTACAATGTTTAGATTAATGAAAAATATAGTTTACAATAAGTAGTTGAATGTAAGAGGATATTGTTCTTTTATATGGTCTCTCAAATAATAATAATAATAATAATAATAATAATAATAATAATAATAATAAATAATGTAAACAAAATGTATTTTTAGTTGTTATCGATTCAGAATATCGATACCGAGGCCTCGGTTCAATACTTTTGCGTGGCACAGAAGACTACGTTTTGACCAAAAACATAAAAAGTATTTACCTCGCAACAAAAGGGCAAGAACAATTTTACCAAAAAAATGGATATTACAACTGCGAGCCCATCGATTTGTGGGACTGTAGAGCAGTCTCAAAACCCATTGATGTAATACGAAAAAAATATACACACAAAGAAAAATGCTCCGGGCCGCCACCGCCTCCACTGCCTAATTTATTTTCTTTTAAAAAGTCAAAAATTACCACATCTAAAACCTACATGGTAAAACATTTATAAAAAGACCAGCTCTATTTATAAAACAAATATATTTTTTTATAAGAAGACATTACATTTTTTATTTAACATTAGTATTTATATTTATTTATTAAAAGTATAACATGCGTATTGCATTGTATTGTAATGTTTCTTGTTATCTTTGATCGTGAATGACAATTACAGCTGAGGATCTGTCGAAAGACCACAAACTTTTTGGAAATGTTCTGGTTTTTCTAAACTATCAACTAAAAACTCTCCCAGCTCATATTTGGAGATGACACGTCCAGGAGACTCATTGTACTTAACAGTGTAGCTTGATTTTGGTGTTGCTAAAAAATATTTAATTATTAATCAATATTAATAAATTAAATAATTAATTTATACGTCAGTTACAAACTAAATTCAGGGTGGTAAATATAATATTCCATTGAGATAAAAAAAAAAAAAATAACTTTTCATGTATATATTACTCATTAACAGCCAGTCCCTACGATTGCAGCTTTATATTTCTCTCCTTGACTAAGATGAATTTTGAAAAAAACGCTCTTCTGCGTAATAGATTTTTTAATTATCTATTTCGTAGCAGAGCGTTTTTTTTTAATTCTAATTTTTTTAAAAGAAAAACATAAAACTGCAATAGCTTTATAATCATGAGTGCAATAACGATAGTTTCGTTTCTTGCAATGAGTGTGACGCGAGAAAAAGAGGGGATCGATCGGATATATACATTTGAGAAAATTTTTTTATTTTATTTTGGCTAAGGTTTTATATTTTTTTCACCCAGTGTATAGCTTATTCAACTGGCGCTTCTTGCTAGGGAAATTGTTCGTAAGAACGGATCTCTTTTAGGAGCATCTCGTAAATCTTGTTTCTTCTGAGTAAACTAAATTTGCTCTGACACTTGTTCTTCTTTTTCTTATTCTTCATCTACGTATCTTCATCTTTACTTCTTGTTCATCTTATTCCTCCTCGGTACTCTTTATAATCTCCAGGATGAATAACCAAGTTTTATTATTTATGAAATGACAATAAATTTATTTATGGAAATTTTAAAAAGTATGATTCAAATCCTGCTTTAAAAGATATACCGTCAACACTTAATCATACAATTTATACAATTATTGTGCTAAGAATAATAAATTTAGGGATTTTTCAAATAAAACCGATATATATTTTATTTTATAGCCGATAATGTTAACATTATTATTTTATCAAATTTAAATCTATAATTGCTTCTTACGGCCTTGTAACTCATCGCTATTTTGCTACGAAAAAAATAAAATAAATAATAAATATTGATTAGACTATCGTCGTCATCAATATTTCCATCACGTTTCGTTACTTATAACTTGGTCCTTTTATAGCGTGATAAAGTATTGCCGACTATTTTTATGTATTGTTGCCTATTCACTTGAAAATAAAACAAAGAAAAGTCAAAGGCAACAATAAAAAATCGAATGAGCCGAGCAAAGAAAAAAAAAAAACAGAAACTTGTGATGTAATGTTGATGGGAAAACGCACAATCGCTAAGCCGCTTACTCTTCGAAAGGAAGAGAAGTGTAAAGCTGAAGCACTTAAAAGGCAATTCCAGTTTTACGATCATATCGTACTTCATTGAACGTCCATTATTTTCTAGTGGGATTAAATTCGCAATAATGTTACATTGATTATGAATTCACATTAAATTTAATTTATTACACTAAAGGTTATTTTTACACTGTAAATTTATTCGTTATATCAAACTAAAGAAAAATACATATTTTGTCATTTTAAAATGAATAAAAATTTCTCAATTTTAATTTAATAAAAAAAAAAAATCAATTAATTTCACGGAGATTTTTTTTTATTAATCATGAAAATAAAATCACTCCCCAAATTTTTTACAGTGTATTATCCATTACATTATAATAATAAAATAAAGTACACTGTGTAATTTCATTTGTTTAATTAATGTTTAATCAAAAACAACTAAAAGCATATTTACAGACTGTAAAAAATTTAACAGCAGCCTACAACTAATTACAAGTGGTTATTCTAATATATAAATGCAAATATATATCTATATCTAGTGTATTCGTGTAGCATGAAGTCTAGAATTTCGAGTAAAAGAAAGCCTACATTATGTATGCAAGTACCGGGTGCATAGTCCAGAAAGAAATTGCCGTTACGCCGTCTGCATCTTGGGGTCTACCCCGGTGGTAAAGAGTATGCTCTGCTGAGAGTGAGCCAATCTCACTCTCATAAGCTGAGAAATATATATTTTTAACGATCGATAGAAAATTTAAAAGAGCTACTTTAGCATCTTCTTGGTAGATATACTGATATAGTTCTCAGTAATGGAGAGAAAGAAAGTAACGAGCCACTTATGCGAGCTAAGAAAAATATCTGAAATGATGCGGGCAAAAGTATACATACATACATACATTGATGCATACGTAAAATCTTTTATTCATGTATGCATTAAAAAAATTTTGACGAGCTCAAAAGCACCAGGAGAAGAACTTTAGACAAGAATGTATGATTTTCAGCAGATATATATGGCATTATACTCTTCAATCATTCAATCCTTATCGACAAAATGCCACTGACGCTCATCGACAATGCACTTTCTCGATGTCCCTAGTAATCTCTCTGTCGACATCATCAACGTCGGCTATATTCACCAAAGCCACGTTGGCTCGAGCTTTTTATAAGCTCCTGTACTCTAGCTCTGCAGAAATAAAAACTCAATGCTATTAGTCCGCCCAATTCACATTTAGAGAACTCGATGTGTCAAATTTTTATAAAAAAAAAAGCAGTATAACCTTACAATAGACAATATTGCTAAATATTCAGTAACATATTTCAAAATAATTCAGTCTAGGTTATAAAAAATGGCTTTTCGCGAACTAAAAATACGGTAACAATGAAGAGAGAAAAGAGTTAAAAAATTCACATAAAAACAATGTATGCAAACATATGTCCAGCGGCTCTATAAAAAACAGTGTGTGCTTTATAACAACTGTATCCGTATCCAGAAAGCTCCATAGTATGATATCGAAAAAAAAAAAATAAAAATATTTAGTGTCCTCGTAAATCACAATAGACATTGTCAAAATAATACAACGGTCCCGCAATATTACCGCGTAGGTGAAAAGGCAAGTTTGACATAATTTGTCACACACCATATAATACCAATCGTGTCCAGTAATAGACTCCTTTCATCATGGGTTCTATAAGCACCGGGGTTAGTTATTACACTTAGCGCGTTACGTCGGCCGAGACAATTTGAGCGCGTGGCCTTAGCCAGCCAGCTAACTACCAGCAGTAGCGATGGTAGAGAAGCAGCATCACCAGCAATTCGGCTAGTAAGTTATCGACTCGTAGATTATCACCAGTACGTGCTCGGAATACCGTTAGCACACGGACCAAGAGACATTGAAGGTATAGAGGACTAAACTGAGAAGAGACAAGAGTAGTGAGTGCATACTGGACCTATTACTATTACTATACATGCACTTCTCCGAACTCAATCCCTCCTTCTCATTCTCGCTCGCTCACTTGCTTGCTTATTGTCTATGTACTGTTACGTCCATTTCTACGACAATGGCAGGTTATACTGTTTAGTATAGTATAGTATAGTATAGTATAGTATAGTATAGTATAGTAAAGGGAACCTCTTCGTCCGGACATTAACTCCCACGAGAGGGCCAAACTCTCTCGCGTTAATGCCGTCGCCATCGGTGCATATAACTGGCACGTGGATACTGCAGTCGCTTAAGCATGCAGCGCAGCTCTAACTCGACTAGCATTATCGTCTAGTTTATGGGATACACGTATACATATCCAGACATTCTCCAAACTATCGCTCAAAGTATCTACATCTCATCCATTCTTGAGATTATTCACCCCCGCCAGTATCGACAATATAATATTTGTTGATGCGATATCCATGGCTCCTCGTATATCAAATAAATGTGTACGAATAGTTAAGAACCCCAATACTCCGTATCATACACCAACCAAGTGAAGCATTTCTTTAGATTTTTTTATCTTCTATTACTATTCTTACTTTATTTTCTTCATCTCTGAATGCAACTCGTACAGTCGCAGTTGTATAGTCGTACAACCTCAGTATTATTTACGACGTCGTTAAATTCTCATCTCGAGGCCGATATTTATCGGAAAATTGAGCTGACGCGAGAAATGGAAGCAGACGCGATCGACTCGGTTTCATATATATATATATTACCGTCTATGCTCTGCACTATACACTGTACACTAACGCTTGCATATGTACTTCATACACATGTATGTATACCTGAGCATGTTTTTCGATGTATCGAGAGGCCTCAATTACAGTGGCAACCACACTGGGACGACGTTGTTCACAGCGCGACAAGTATAGCGCGTCCTCGACCATAAATTACCATCACACATCACACAGCGGCAGTCAACCAACCATGCCAGTGATCCAAGTATCTGTGTTTTAGCAGGAAAATTCTCAGTGGAGATGTATGTCCGTGAACATATATGTGTAACACATACAGTTAGAGTAACGTGATGAAAATCGAACAATTCAGTAGAGGAATATAACGTAAACTAAACGTGTCGAATTCGCAGCACGAAATAAACGTTACGCCGAGCATTGGGTCTCAACGCAAAATGTCTGGCGATCGTGACTGGTGATGACACACGCTAATGTTGACCAGATGTTGTTATGGAAACATGCTATATTCCCATTTAAAAAAGCGTATACTCGATCAATTGCATCAATAAATAATGATAATAAAATTAATATCATATCGATACGATCTATATATTATGATAATTTATGTTTTGCGTTATGTGTCCCGCATCGAAATTCGATGAACCACGCTTGATATGATAATACTTATGGTGGTTGAAATATTTTTATGCCTGTTTTGTATCGCATTTTATACATATATACATCTATATGTACATATATATATATACTGTACCTTTCGGGCAAATATATATCATCAAAATAAATTTATTGGTTAATCGTGCTACTCTCGCTA